CAGATAGATAGATAGATAGGTAGATAGATAGATAGATAGAGAGATAGACAGGATAGATAGACAGGATAGATAGATAGATAGATAGATAGATAGATAGATAGATAGACAGGATAGATAGATAGATAGATAGATAGACAGATAGATAGATAGACAGATAGATAGATAGATAGACAGATAGATAGATAGATAGGTAGATAGATAGGATAGATAGGATAGATAGGATAGATAGGATAGATAGGATAGATAGGATACAAAGATAGATAGATAGATAGATAGATAGGTAGATAGATAGATGGATAGGATGGATGGATGGATGGATGGATGGATGGATGGATAGATAGATAGATAGATAGATAGATAGATAGGATGGATGGATGGATGGATAGATAGATAGGTAGATAGATAGATAGATAGGATGGATGGATGGATGGATGGATGGATGGATAGATAGATAGGTAGATAGATAGATCGATCGATCGATAGATCGATCGATAGATAGATAGATAGATCGATCGATCGATCGATCGGATCGGATAGGATAGGATAGGATCGGATAGGATAGATAAATAGATAGATTTATAGATAGGATAGATAGATAGGATAGATAAGATAGATAGGTAGCTAGATAGATAGGTAGGTAGGTAGGTAAGTGGATAGTGAGTGAGAGAGAGAGAGAGAGAGAGAGAGAGAGGAGACTTAGAGCCTCAGCCACCTTTTGGTCCATCAATTGGTTCGCTCTGCCACCCGTGCTTCACAACTTCCAACATCTACCACAGGTTGCATATTTTTGAAACTTCTGCCACCGCCTTGCGCGGTACTACTGGTAGTTTCATAGCATGTTTATATTTGTTTGTCTCACCGTGAACCGGTCATGAGCGACCCCAGCTGCTTCAAAACGTTTACTGCGCAATGAGACTTTGTTTAGCAACAGCAGAGATTATTCTAAATCACTTTCAGGCACAGCAATACTTCATTTTCGCATATGCCAGCCGCTGTTTTCGAGACATCAAGCAATCTTGAAACCACAAGTTGAGGCCAGGACATATTTGCGCGCGTCACAAGCTCAAGGCTCATGGGACTAGAAATGCAGAATTGTAGTGAAATTTATTGGATGTCAACTCGGACGTTGGTGCATCAGTCTTAAATAAACAAAAGGCAGCGACGGGGACTCAATTGAGAACTGTGCTGAGATACAGTGTGTAGAACTGGGTGCTGGGGTAAGGAAGAGTTGCATTTCTTGCTGTCGCATGCTGAGCTTTGCTCAGATGTCCTGACACATCCTGGCACGTTGCAAATTGTTGCAACTTTCGATGAATTCCAGAGTCTTTGTTGCAGGCCCTCCTCTTGATGGTCGTGGGCCTCGTTTTCCTGGTGTACGGATCCCTGGATTGATTGTGGCTGTCATGAGTCATGAGTCATGACTTTGTGGCCCAACAGGCTTAGGGAGCCTGATGTTTTAACGCCCTTCTGCAAACCAGCCTATCACCCTACTTTTTGACTTTACAAAGTGTTGAGGATGATGAGCTGCTGTTCGTTTTACAGAGTGCCAAACACCATATACAAATTGTGCACCCAACTTCGCCATGTCAGACATACCTGGCCGCTCGCTTTGTACCTTCACTGCTGGAGAAAAATTGGTACCGGCGTAGTGCTGCATCTCTATGTCTGTGTGTTCGCAAAAATCGTTTCCGTCTGCTGGTTTGTTTGCAATGTAGGCTCTGAGAAAGAAAAGGTCTATCGGCTTTCACTGAGGCTGGGCACCTATAGCAGTGTCGGAGGCTCAGGGGTCAAGCATCACCTTCAGATGCCTTCAGCATCAGAAAAATGCCAGGGAGGAGAAGGAACACAGAAAGCATGCAGCATGAAACCGAAAACAACGGAAAGCCAGCTTTGCTGTTTCTTTGTTACATGTCTCTCAGCTGTCCCTCAGCTGCCTAAGGTACTCGATGTGATCGCTCAGCTGTCTGAAAGGCCAAAGGCTTAGTCGGCTCTGCCTGCAGATTGCTCCCCCAGCTTCCCCCAGAACGCAAGGAGATCTGGGGAAAGACAAAAGTGATGCCTTTCGAACAAAATCTAATCTGCATGAAGCCAAGACAATATGGAAAATTATGGAAACATGTAGGTACATAGGATAGGATGAACGGCTGAAGGCATAAGGATCATAAGGATTCCGGCCAAGTCAGCCACTTGCAATAAATCAAACAAAAATTGTCCACTTGCCGAACTTCGTGCAACACTTGCGGTGTGTGCATCAAGTCTCAATCCTTACACGAAGGTGTGAAGCTATTTGTATGCATGATCTTGCATTAGGCCATGTAGTTGGAATGGAGTAGACGACGGGAGTTTCATTTCAACACAAGGTTGCACAATGCCAGCAACAAGTTGTACAAGTTGTGACTAAGGTCTGACAACAAGCCACTGCAGTGCAGTGACTTAATTCTTGACCCTGCGAACGACCGACGGCCAAACTAAAAGTGTTCCGCCGATCTGGCTACAGTATATACGTTGTCAATCCCCTCTCGGTCCTCCCAACTTGCAAAGCGGAATCCTTTGATTGATTCAGGTACTGGTGCAAGTTCAAAATACTTGGTCCCAATATGTCACGTCCCAATTTGCATGGTGTTTTTTGATTCTGCATCGAGACGGAGAGGGGACTGGAAATCATGCACAGCAGTAGTAGCAGTCGTTTTGTTGAACTTGCTGTGGCTGCCAGCTTTTGCCCAGCAGCACCGGACACAGATGCACATTGTGTCCATTTGTTTGCTACAAAAAGCACACGCATTGTTTGCAGTCGAGTCCCATGGCGTTGTAGTGTTGATTTAAATTTGCCCATTCCGTGGCCCCTCAAAGCCTTGTCAGCTTCAATAACTTGTCATGAGTTTTACGTTGCGTTTGAGAGTTTTGAGTTGAGAGATTTGAGAGTTGATTTGAGAGTGTTGCAAGTTTCTCTTTCAGTTGGACAATGCAATCCTGATTCTTCAGGTACTTCATTGACCGGTGGCTTCACTTCCTCACAGTGGAATCGGGTGGCACTCAAGGCATCCTAGATTTGTTCAAGTTGTGGCGTTTGTTTTCTTTTGGGATGTTGTCAATGCACCATGTGCCCAGTTTTCTTCCCTCAAGCAACAGAAAATACGAGGAGCTCCAGACTGCAGAAAAGGTGCAAAGAATACTGTATGGTATATGCACGTGCAGGTAAAAACATCCAAGGCAGCTTTCCTCGAATAACTTTCAGATCTAGGTTGTGGAAATGCAGACCTCAAGCAATGGAAAAATACTGAACATCTGGGGCACGTAAATAAGCTATGTCTAAAGTCACCATTCTGTATCAGAACACATCACACGAGAATGATGTTCTTTCAAGAAACATGAGACAGAAAGCATTCCAGCACATGTTGAGCTTGGCTTCGCTGCAGGCCGGTGGTCATTGAAAGTGGCAATCGGCAGCTAATTGGTTGCTTTGGGATCTTTTGGTGCCAGGATTATTTGTTCAAATGCATGTTCACCTCGTGCCAGACATGACTTTATATCATTTTATCTGGTAGACAGAGTTGGGTGCTGTCGTCTCTTGCGAACTGGGAAATTGTTGATTTTCAATGATTTTCAAACAGTCGATCTCGAGAAGTAAAGTGTGTGCTCCTGCAGACTGCTCCCAAGATACTGTGGATATTGCTGTGATCCGTTCCTGCTATCGATATATGACTTTTCAGATTCCTTGGCCCTAGGATGGTCCCGATGGGGACTTTCCAGCCTGAAGGAACCCTTGAACTGTGACATGATTTGAGCAAAATGCTTCACTTCGCTTGAGTCAAACTGTTCCATGTGAAGATAGTAAAGTTGTAACACCTGCTGCTTAAGACGTTGGAACGGTACGAACATGTTGGAACTGGGACATTTTGATCGGCTTGATATCAAATGTGCGCCACCAAGGCATAAAGGGCATTCTCCGCGCAGAGGATTGCTGGTGTGTGTTTTCTTGAAGCCGGTGGTTTGGCATTCACATGGAGCTAAGCATGAAAAACGCCGTGCTGGCCATTTGAGGTTATAGCAGGTTGCTTAATGGAAATTCAAAAAGCCCGCGCACTGGATTTTGATACGCAAAGACTTTGGTCACCAAAGTATGGGCGATATGGGCCAGTTTTGCATGATTTGTCTGTGGGGCACTGGCATTGTTCCGAGTACTGCCGAGAGGTATTTTAGTTTGACCCGTAAACATCTTTAACAGTGGCATTGCTTGGTTATGAATATGCTCACCTCCGAAAGGGATCGAAAGGGTCGATATGTCATGATATGCGATTTTATCTCTTGGAAATGGGTGCCACAACATGGCGCAGCTTCAAGGGTTCAAACTGGATATGAGCATCCCTTGGTGGGCCCCTGAGATTTTTAGGGAGCTCTGTTTTTGGTTTGCGCCACCCAGCATTTGTCCCTGGGGCCTCATCGGCCTGTGCTTCGTGGTTGGCCTACTCATCCGCTGCATCACTGGTTTTGTGATTGGGGCCTTGGTTTTTTCATCCCATTGCCGTCGAATCACCATTCAATTGCTGTCGGTGACATTGGCCTGGTTGCAGCCTTCTATTCCTGTTGCCAGAACTGATTTGGGTGCGCGGCTTGCTGAGCACCGGCGTCGCCAGTAGACGCCCCAACTGCTGCCGGCTGACTGCTCTGTAGGATTTGTTTCTCCAACAATCAGCACTCCTTGACTTCTCACCTTTTGGGTGACTCAGTGTTCACTAGAGCCTTGCAGAGTAGTAGAGACATAGCTACTCAGGGTCCCAGTCGGTTGAGCCTAGGATTGGGTTCTCTGATTTTTTTTTATTTGGATTGGTCTTGCAGAGCAAGTGTGTTTGGGTGGTGAACACGAAACACCATCTACATCACCAAAGTTGGAAGCCGGGGGTTGCCCTTGTTTTTCACTGTGACTCCTTCAGCCACGTACCAAAATCAGAGACGCGGGCCTAGTTGGCCTAGCCACGTCGACCGTGGCCACATCTGGAACTATGAAAGCTCCCTTAGACCAAGGTGCGCTACAAGCCTTGGTCGATTCAGCTGCTCAAGCCAGAAATTTGCCTGCTCTTCACCTACCATTTTCTCCTCCTGCCGAAGAAGCTGGGGCTATAGCAGTGTGTTATGCTTTGAGATATCGCCCCAATGGGTTCATGGTACTTGCTCCAAATCACCCAGATGTGCAACTGGCTTTGGTAGCAGACCAGCTGGACGAGGATCCTCCTATGTTCCACAAGTCTCAGGTGAGCCTCGAGAATACCCGAGGCCGGGTCTTGGGTGCAACAGAAGTGCTTTTGGTGGACATGAGTTGATCCTATGTGCATCTGTTTTCTCCGGCAGGTGCATTCAGAGGGCCCGTGGCATCGCGTCCACCATTAGTCCATATTCAAATGGGAGATCAGCCTGGCCGCCCCACCAAAGCCACTGCCCTGGAAGCAGCTTCCCGTTGGATTGGGGAGATGGATCAGGAGACCGCTCAGGATTATGCCACAGCCGGGGAGGGCGTAGCAGGTTCCGCAGCACGTTCCTTCCAAGACACCGGCGCTGTTCAACATCGGCGACACTGCTCTGACTCCAGCACAGAGTGGGACCGGTTGAGGCAGTTTGCCGGCACACCGCCACCTCGAATGGCGCAAGCAGAGCGGAGAGGAGCTGCCGCCAAGACTCGCCCTCAACCTGCACCAATGCCTTTTTTACCCAATATGAGCCTGCAGTGCCTGATTCCTCGAGTGAGCCAGGCGGTGGTGCATGTGGGTCATCTCACATAGTTCTCCTCAGAACAATCTCCCTGACCTCTCTAAACCCCATGTAGTTTTTTCAAGTGTCGATTTAATGCAAGCCGCATGCCGTGGCCTTCGCTCATCCTACACCGGATTAGGTCACTTTGTAAGAGCTAGCCTCAAACTGGTTAGTTCCGCCTGCGTTGTTGAAAGCTCCCCAAGGGATCTTTGGCCAGTCCCTCCGCCCACCTAGAGAGCCAAGAGTGTTGAATTGAAAGCCTTCGGGTTCATGTAACCATAACAGCTTTCAACGAGAGCTGTCATGAAATGTTCGTTGGCATGGCTAGGCATGGTGCTGTGGATCTCTGCAGTTAACTTGTGAAATCACAGCAGTTTCTGAGCTGTCATGAAAGGTTCGTTGGCATGGCTAGGCACTGTGCTGTGGATCTCTGCAGTTAACTTGTGAAATCACAGCAGCTTCTGCTTTATTCTGTTCCAGGGTCGCTCATTTTTTTGGAAACAAAGTTTGGCATCCTGGGCATGCATGCTTGAGCCACTCCCCAAACAAGCTGGGGGCGGAAGTTTCCGGATATCTGTTTATATATATATATATATATAGATGAATAAATAAATAAATAAATATATATACATATATATATATGGGGTAAACTGTTTTAACCTTATATATAGGGGGTGTGGTAGATTCAACAAAACAGTCACACAATTTTTCGGGAAAACCAAGTTGACATGTTTGTTGCTCACATTGCCTGTTCGTCGCTCAACAGCCCTAGGTTTGGCACCACATACATGTTTTTTTTGGGATATTTCCCAAAGAGGTTTGGCAGCGCATACATCCCAAACAGGTTTGGCACCACAGGATTGGTACCACTTTTTTTGAAAATAACAAACTCACCAACAGATTCAAAACCACAACTTGGAACTCCCAAAACCCATCACCACATGTTTTTCCAACCCCGCGGTCGGTGTCAACTGCGTTGCCGAGCTCAAAGCCCGGTATCTCAGTGAAAGAATTCCAGCAGGGCTCGGTACCTTCTAAGTGTCACTACATCCATTGTGCTTGGGTGGGTTCGGCTAGCGATATGGCCAATTTCCTTCATCAAGTCCTCATCTTGGTAGCAATGCTCGAACCTGAGCTACAGGTAGCCATGGAACTCCAAAAACCCTTGTGAGGATGCCAAAAAAAAACAAGTACATACGTGCTTAAAACATTTTAAAACAACTATAACAAGACTTTACAAAACTCAGGCACCGTGGGTTGCGGTTGGTTTCCTCCATGTATAGCGTAAGCTCGTAAAGGCAATGGAATTTGGGAATGAGTTTGAAGAATCGGTGGTCATCAATCCGGGATCTATCATCCCCAGCCAGTTTTTGATAGAACAGCAATCCAGCCCGGGCATACTTCACAGTCTCCCGTGTTTTGTCGGGTTCAAAGAATGGCCCATTGATGTCCATCAGGAACTGGAATTTTGCAAATCCATATATGCAATGGAACCTCATTTCTGCACCAGCTACACGCCCAACAGCTTCTTTCAAGAAATCGTTGCACCAGTAAAGCATAGTCTTTACAACAGCTGCTTTGAAAATTGAACCCAGTTCAGGGTAAGCGGGCCATGACTCCTTCCCAAATCGGGCTCCATTGAACCTGTGTGAACACGCTGTTGCATGTTTCCCCTTTCTCCGGCACCATTGTTTGTAATGTGGGTATACTTCTTTTGACAAGACCCTGTCGAGATCCTTCAAGGTAATGGCGGGATAGTAGCTCTCAATGTGACTGCAAATCAGGCCTGCTATCACACAACAAAGAACTCCTTGATGGAAGACATGAAGTAGGTCCTGGGGCTACCATGTGAGTGCATGCCCCGACCCGGAAATTGAGGTGGCAATGGCAACCATGGTTGCAACCCTGGTGATTTTGATTTTTTTTTCAGGCACATCCGGTGGGAATGCTGGGGAAACTGAACCAAACCATCAAACAAACCAACCATTCAGAAATGAAAATAAGAATGTGGAAACAACATGTCTGAATCAAATGCGAGTTTCTTCCAAGTTTCGATCTTTGGTCCACCCCTTCACATGTTGCCAGCTGCTTTGATCATGCTGTGGATTCAGTAAAAGGAATTGGTCATGGGAAAACCGTACAGATTGAGAAGCTGCATCTGGCCGGAAATCAGCAAAGGTGAAGTCTTTCGAATAGGATGCCATGCAATGTTCACAGATATATTTTGAACGATAATACCGGGTCAATTTATGCACAATCACGCGAGCTTCCCAGTCACCCTTGAATCCCGTGAAGGCCATCGACCACCCAGATGCAAAAGTTTGTCCAGCTCTTCGAAAAGCCTGGGACCCTGGATCGAATTGATTCCCTTCATGGTCCAGGGAAGGGAAACAACCACTCATTAGTGTATCGCATATGTAGCCAGCCAATTTTCCAATTGCATCATGCGTTTTTCCCTTGACTACCATGTTATCCCTCACCAATATGAAGACCAACTTTGTTGCCATGGATGGTCCTTTCCGACAGGCAGAGCTGATTGAATACACCCAAGCTTTCTGATTCTTGTAGACTTTCACCCCATCAGTATGAAAGTAAAGTGGAACACAAGACCCATAGCGCTCTGGTGGGAGATCCAACCTCCGAAAGAAGTCCAATCCTTCACAGTGGCCCCAATACTCGATGGTTCTTGTACTGGCTGAATTGGGATCATCCGAGATCCATTGCAAAAACTTTCCAGTCTCATCAAGATGGGCAAAGAAATCCCATGGCCAAATGATTGCTGTATCCGACACTGATTCAATTTCGTCCCCAGACTCATTAGTGACCAGCAGGGGAACACCAACGGTGTCTGGGTGGATAGTGCACACTTCTTTGCACCACCTGGGGTGTTGATGGTATCATCCATATTACATATAATAAAACCAAGATTAAAACCATATTTCTGGGTTCAACATTGAGGGCATATACAAAATATACAGTCGCACCCCTTCCCCATTTAATAAAATGGGGCAATCAAAACTCTAACGGGCCTTGCAAAGGACCGCTCAGGGTGTCCACCTTGAAGCCACCGATTCATTTCCCTTGCCAAGGGACATTTAACCCCATCAGCCACAAGTTCTCTGGCATCTCTGCAACCATCAGCTGCTGATGTAGCCTAGGATGAAGTGTGGCAAAGGTTTAGTCCAAGGATTGATTTGTTACTTATCACCCCCATGTTGCATTTGTTTTTTTTCATAGAAAGACTTATCCCTTATTTTTTCCATTTCATGTTTGACATCGTTTTGGGCCAAGCGACCCCATCACAAATCTTTCGAAGTATCCTCTTTGAAGAAGCCGATGCTAATTGCAGCAAGCCTCACAATCAAGATCGGATCCCCCAACCGGATATACATAAGTATTTGCATGAAGAGATTTCTATTGATAAATCCATGTGTATTTTCCATATACGTTTACATGCATATGTATATATATATAGGTGACATATATATGTATATATATATGTATATAAATATATCATAAATGATTATATTGATATGAACAGATATGAAGGGTCAATGGGATTTGTTTTTCGATTTTCTTGGTTGGGTGGAATGCCCTGAGCTTGAATTCCGAGGCACTCTTGAACTCATCCTTGTGAGGGCGCCGATGTTGAAGAGATCGGGATCTGGACCTGCGTGGGAGTCTAACACATGTGCTACATGTTCGATGGGTTGAAGCCACCACTTGCCATATGGAAAGGGGATGTCCAATGAAACCATTTGTCATTTGAGGTATATGCACATACCCAAAATCTTGAGGGTGAGTTCTGCCACTCTATTTCCATCGCATTGAATCGCTCCGATCCTTTCAGATGTATGGGATTAGGCTGCGTGTTTTGCAACTTGAAGTACCCCAGAGAAACCACAGTAGACCCAGCCCTCCCTGTGAACAGAATTGGAGTTTCTTTGAATGAATCTACAACTTCAAAATGTTTTCTTAATGTTTTCATCCCTTGCAAATTGGGAAGGTTTAAGAGCCACTGTCAAACCCTAAAAGCCATGTTCGGAATCGAACAAACATCAAAATGTAAATTGCGTGAAACAAGCCTATGCAGCGGTGGCTTCACCATTGGTGATTGCCAAAGGCTTCTCTCCCTCACCCGGCTTAGCCCTGCTCTTTGGCCGGGGTTTGTCAACAGCACGGATCAAAGCCTTAGCCAAATCAACTCGTTCCTTTGCCATGTTCGTGATCTCAGTGACCTGCAGGGCAATCACTAAGACTGAGTGTGAAAAAGGATGTTTGCCTTGACTATAGGAAAACCAGTAAGTGTTTGTCACAGGTTTGTACCCCAGAAAAAATAAAAACTGTTGCCTCTGCCAGGATGGCAACGTAATGCTTATTTTTGTCCTTCTTGTTGCGGATCTTCTGCTGCAATTGCTCTGCGCACGTTTGCAACTTCACCGCACAAGCTTTCAACTGCTGGATAAGGTCATTGGACATCGAAATGGGGCGAAGCTTAAAAGCGAAGTCCCTTAGATAGAAAGATGTTGATGGCATCCATAAACATCAGCGAAGAGGAATTTGACTATAATAGATTATTAGATAGGTTGTTGACTAATAATAATCTATCTAAGAGGATTCATCCAAAAACATAATCTACAATCCATATCGAGCCATTTGACTATACTATAGTGCAGTCTGGTGTCCGGCAGCTATTCGCATCCTTCAGGACCTTTTCCTGCAGCTTCACCGCCTTTTCCAAAGGAGTCTCCGGCGTAACCTGTACCATGGCATGGGGTGGACTCATGAGTTGACTGGGTATAATGAAACATTCGAAATCTAGACTCATGAAATCTAAATCCATGGATAGACTAAGTATGTGCCTCCTTGGCTTCTTGTTTTGCACTTCCTTCGGTTTCCTCTGACCTTTGCCCTTCTTGGTTTTGGTGGCAGAAGCATCACCCTTCAGGCCAACAGAACCCAACATCTTTGCAACCCCCTCTGCGCCCAGCTTGTCGCCAAGAGCCAAGTGTTGCTTCCCATCCAAGCACCCGCCGGCCTAAGTAGATGGGGAATGATCCGGAAAGATGAGACCAGCATGAGGGATGGTTGGATGATACTAAGTAGATGGGGAATGATCCGGAAAGATGAGACCAGCATGAGGGATGGTTGGATGATACTAGTTACTAGTGACACTTTTGGTTGCTCTTGGTGGACGACCAATCTAAACAAACAACCAATGAAACTGTGGGTAATAGGTACTATGGTGAAGTATACTGTCCCAATTTAGCTGAGTAACATCCACGAAAGCCTTCACGCCATCAGGATCCAAGGTTCCAGTCATTTCCAATGCTGTAATACGTTTGTATTCCTTGATGTCCTCGATGTTGAATTCGATGAGGACGAAGTAGAGGAACTCGTCTTCGCCTGGGAATTCCGGGTCCTCCATTGTCCTTGGCAGGAGCAAGGAAGCTACAGAAGTTTGGTGGTGGATTCTATGCAGGCAGGACCAAACATGGCACCGGGACCAGATGGGTTGATGCTTCAATATCTTTCCCGGGGCCAACATATCTTGAACCGAGATTCAACCCCAACGACTTCTTGCGAGTCATGATTTTCTCAGCTTTCTTGGCGCCATGGTGCTTTATGAGCCATTGGTCATTTCTAAACCCATATTTCACTGAACTCTTTTGGCTTTCCTCCAAACGACTTTGGAAGATAGCCTCAACTTCAGCAAAGTCCTCTCCGTTGTCCATGTAGTCGTTGAACAGTCGCAGCCTGGTGTCCTGTGACAAGTAGATTTGGAAAGTAAAGGATACGGTTTCAAGGTGGTGGTAGGCATATGTAGGCATATGTAGGCATATGTAGGCAGTGTCAATGGCTAATATTTATATATTTATATATATATTATATATATATATTGATGTACCTTCCATATAGTCCCTATAGTATAAAAGTTTTCTTTTGTAATATTGGTTGCCCAGATTTACACCCAAAAGGTTTTGATGACCAGTGAGTATGAATGATCAAGGCAGTCCTGGTCTTTGCATGCTGCTGCAATCTTTGCAGGACATCGCTTCTTGTTTTTCACCCACCTGCCAAAGGTCTGCCACTCCTTCCTGTGGGTCGAGGAGTTCTTTTTCCCATCCTTTTCATCATCATCATCATCACGGTCACGCTTCTTTGTTTTGACCAAGTCTTTCTCAACCTCCTTCAACTTTGGCTCAGTCTCTTGGTCATTGGTCTTGGCCTTGTTGCCTTTCTTGTCTTTCATCTTCTTATCTTTCTTCTTCTTTCTGCTCTCTGCCTTCAAGGCCTTCCTCTTGGACTTGTCCTTTTTCTTCTTCGTCTGTTCTGACTCTGACTCTGACTGGCTGCCTTCAGATTCCTCTTCCTCATCCTCGCTAGACTCTTCCACTTCTTGATCCTTGTCTTTTGTCTTCTGGCTTGTCTTCTTGGCCTTCTGTGCCTCCTCCTTTTCCTTGGCATTCTGTGCCTCCTTCTCCTTCTGTTCCTTCTCTTCCTTGGCCTTCTTTGCCTCCTTATCCTTCTGTTCCTTCTCTTCCTTGGCCTTCTGTGCCTCCTTCTCCTTCTGTTCCTTCTCTTCCTTGGCCTTTTGTGCCGCCTTCTCCTTCTGTTCCTCCTCTTCCTTGGCCTTCTGTGCCGCCTTCTCCTTCTCTTTCTCCTCTTCCTTGGCCTTCTGTCCCTCCTTCTCCTTCTCTTCCTTGGTCTTCGCTGGCGCCTTGTGCTTCTTTAGAATCCCAACAGGCTTCTGGGCATCTTCTTTTTCAGAAGCAGATTCCTCGTCTTCACTATCGGTATCGATTTCATCATCTTCACTCTCATCATCATCTTCTGCCTCAGTTGATGATTCATCTTCGCTTTTCTCCTCTGCATCACTGGTGCTCTCACCAGACTCGATCTCTTCACCATCGATGCCTTGACTTTCGTCTTCTGTCTCTGTTGAAGACCCGTTGCTGCCCGTGTCTTCACTGCTTTCCTCACTGTCTGAATCAGCTTTCTTCTCGGCATCCTTGCATTCTTTCTCGTTCTTATCAGTCGTCTCTTCTTTCTTTGCATCATCTGTCTTGGCTTTCTTTTTCCTGTCAGTATCCTTGGTCTTCTCTCCATCTGACTTACCTTTGGCTTCGGCTGTTTTGTCTGTCTTGCCATCGGTACTCTTGGGTTTCTTCTCATCTGTCCTTCTATTGTCCTTTGTCTTGTTTTTCTTGCGTTCATCCTGACCTTCCTTTCGCTTCTTCTCTTTCACTTTGGTTTCCTGTTCCGAAGTGTGCATTCTGGATTCCCACCATAGCTGCATTTGTGGGATGGAAGCTGTGTCTGTTTTACGGTTGCTTCTAAGCTGCTCTCTAGTTAGCCCTGGTACTTTGTGGAACTGCCCTGGCTTTTCAAATCTGGACCACCACCTTTTCCTTGCCTCCATCTCTTCCACGTCCGATGAGCTGGCTTCCCTTTCCTTGTTGATCTTTGTCTTCTTTCCATCCTGCAGGCTTTGATGAACACAAATATGAGGATATGTTTTGAAATGTGTGGGATGGGACTAAAAATAAGCCATACACAAATATGAGGATATGTTTTGAAATGTGTGGGATGGGATTAAAAGTAAGCCATACACAAATATGAGGATATGTTTTGAAATGTGTGGGATGGGACTAAAAAAGCCCTACACAAATATGATAGGTGTTGGGTCCTTCTTCAAGCTTTCAAGGATTTGATCTGCTTCCTCGATCTTCATGTCTTTGTTGGTCTTGTCTTCAGGGTCGATCTCATGGACAGTGTCCGGTCCAAAGGAAATCCTCCTCCTGCATGATTCCTTTGGAGCACTAGACTGGCTAGAGCTCGGTGTTGTCTTGGTTTTGGGTGGTGGGGTCACCAAACCTACATGTTCTTTCTTCGGCCTTCTCTCTCGCTCTTTGGCTGCCTTGGCTGCCTTCTTCAACGATTTAGGATCTGGACTCCGGCCCCGGGGGGCTGACTTCCCACGGACTCGATGTGTGGGCACCGTCGAATTGGCCATGGTTAAACCAACCTATATAGACTTGACCGCAGATGGCTGGGGTTTAGAAATACATTCATGAAATAATCTTGATATATGTTATGATCTCTTGACTTAAAATGCTTCACTCTCAAGACAGCAGAGACATATCTTTTACATGGTCGCTCGTCATATATATAGGGATCAATTTCTCCAAAATGGAATCGCTCTGAATTTCTATTATAGGCTTGAAAAATGCAGCTCCGGGAATGAATCCTTCAGAGACCTCTAAGCATATAACCGAGAAACCAAGAATCCGAGAAAACGAGAATCCGAGAAACCGAGAATCCGAGAAAACGAGAATCCGAGAAACCGAGAAACCGAGAAACCGAGAATCCGAGAAACCGAGAAACCGAGAAACCGAGAACAACATAGAATAACATAGAACAACACCCCGAGAAACCGAGAAACCGAGAAACCGGGAAACCAAGAATCCGAGAATGCGAGAACATTCTTGGGCAATTTCGGGGAAAATGTGTGTGATTTTCCAAAATTCCGAGCTGCTCCAAAATCCAAGAAATTTCCCGGCTATTCTTGGGTGATTCTCGGCTTTTTCCCGGATTCTCGGATTTTGATTGTTTCATCAAAAATTGCAATTTCTCCACAAAGTTTGTTTTTTTTTGGATCAAAATCAAAAAGTTAGCTCCTATAGATCCAAGCCTGAGGGAAATCCCAATATATTTTGCTTCTGGGTCATGGTTTCCATTCCCGGGCTGCACAAGCCCCCGAATTAGTGGCAGCATTGCTATAGATCCATCTAGGATCGCAGGGCTTCCAAGACTTGCGGCAGGTCAGCTGAAGAAGCCCATGAAAGATCCTGCACCGGAATTCCCAGACTCCACAGACTGGTGATGATTGATGGGATAATAAGGGGTTGTGCTGATATATCCCCAAAACTCAATCACTGGGATTAGAGCTGGACAACTGGTGGGTATTCTGGGGATCTGAAACCTCAATCACTGGGTATTCTGGGGATCTGCTTTGGATTGATTTGGAATATAAACCAATATGCCATATATATATATATATATATGGTCCTTTCTGTATGATATGTTTTACATATATGTAAAACATATTATATAGATATAAGGACCATATATATATGGCATATTGGTTATATATATATATATATATATATATTTACAAAAGGACCATATATATATATATGGCATATTGGATATATATATATGCTAAATATACATGTATCTATAAATATACTAACATATGCACTGCACATGTATATTTACATTTATATACATATAATATATGTACACATATAATGATACATATATGCCATACACAATATATATATATATATGTGTGTGTGTAAATGGCCCATGATAGCCCCATGAAATGCACAGTCCTTCATACGCCGGATTGGCTTTTCCATCTTTTGGAGTTTTTTCCTGGGCCGGATACTGACCACAATGTCTTATGCTAATGCTGATATGTTAAGTAAGGGTATACAGTGTGACCTGCATGCCTGATGCGAAGCCGAATTATGTCATAACTGGCATACGGTTGAGAAACCATTGATTGCCTGTCAATGGCTGTTGGGAGCTGATGTTGGGAAGCCAACTTGAACCGAGCATCAGTTGGGTTTTCACAGAATCCTGAACCTCTTTCGCATGAGCCTGAAAGGCCTGTGCCACAGCATGTCCGAAGAGCTTCGGGTAGTATTGGCTGTTCTTCAGGTCACTGCCCCCGCAAACACGCAGAATTCCTGACCCATCGATATACCTGGGTTGAGTTGGGTTGGGTTGGGTTGGGTTGGGTTGGGTTGGTGGGATGACTCTATATGGTACTGATAGGTGTGGTGCACATATACATACATACATCACATAATGCATAAAATAACATAACATAACATAAAATAACATAACATTGCATTGCATTGCATTACATTACATTTCATTTCATTTCATTACTTACATACATACATACATACATACATACATATATACATACATATATATATAGTACATACTCACCGGTTATATATATATACATATATATATATCTATCTATCAGACTATTTATGGGAGACCCATAGCACTAAACACCTATTCGGTTCCCAGGTGCTTCCGGCTCATCTCCGATGTCCATTCCACATTGCTCGGCAGTGGCAAGTAGAGGGATTGAATCCATTGATAGTTGGAGTACAGCAACGTCGGCTTTGGACCTGAATGCATGGGCCATGGCAATCCTCAAGGATATTCCAGGGTCCCGAAAACATCCTGTGTTGAAACCAATGGTTTTCCCTTAATTTTCCAGCATGGTGGGGCCCATAATTCCTGACCAGGCACTGCCTCCTCCGAAGGATCCAAGCCATACAAATACCTAGGATCGATTCCAGATGGCACATGACCTCCTTAACTTTTGGGGCTGAATTCTTCATCTAATCATATCAACTTGTTTAGGGCATGGCACGCGGTAGATTTTGAATCGCCGACACAGCAGTTGAAAATATGGGTGCCACTCCAAAAGTGAACTCCCAGGCTGCTCCAATATAAATGGTGTATTGGTGATGCAACACATGAGGAGACAAATGCAGCATCTGCACACCATGCAATTCCTGAGCGGGCACGGTTGACCACGGTTGATGGTAGCAATGGATGTAAGGCTGAAGAATCTGGATGGGTTAGGTTTCTTATTTGGCCCCCATTCTTTGGTGTTCCCATAAACCCAACGATTGTCACTTAATTTGCTGATATCCCCGTGGCTCAATCTTTGGCATCATATTTTCACATCTCACTGCCACAGGCGTTCAAACTGTTGTGATAACACACGCAGTGTGGCTAAGAAAGGAGGCGCCCCATCGCTTCCCCTAGACTACGCTGCATCTCAGAATTTTGGAAGGTCAGCATCAAACCACCACAAATTCTGTGATTCTGTGAAAGCATGATAGTGGAATTTGGAATGCACTGGCTCATTTCATTGCCACCCTTCCAGCGATCCTACTAGTGTATGTAGCCATGCCTGCAACACTCTGATGTCATATGGCAGGCTTTCAGCCACCACGATTGAAAATTACTTAATCAACTTCCTCTGGGTCAGCCATGCCCATGTTCTTTCGCACCTGATCCCAGGTATCCTTGATGTTCTTGGCGAACGTCATCCTAAGACAGGCCGTGCATCACGGGCTGTTGATATTATGTTTGAATGCTAGCTTTGGGTATAGTGAGTTGGGGTTCCCTTCTACTGGTCTTCCCGGAAAGAAAATTGTGGAGCTTGAGGTTATAACATATTGTTCAATCTGACCCAAGTGTCGACTTTCCCTTCTCACCCGAAAGCTTGTTGCCCTGAACATCTGACTTGGGTTTCAGCGCCTGCTGCCTGAGAAGCACTTCCACTCTGGCTTCGCCCACTCTCCTTAGCTGAATGGTTTTGAGGTATGAGTCCCCAGCCTACCAGCCTATAGTGACCATAAGACATACCATGATTTCAACTAACCCCGAATCATAAAGTATTCTTGGGTTGGAAGATAAGGGTCGCCGTGTAGCTGTGTTCACCATGCTTCGTAGACGTTGGCCACAGAACATGTGGGAGACTTTTGATCACATCCTGGTACTTTTGATCAAACGATTGCAGCACCTGTTCTCTATCCACAGAACCAGCTCTAGCTTCTGTAGAAGTATCATGACCCCCCTTAGCTCGCTTGGTACGGGATTTGGACTTGGACTTGGACTTGGACTTACGCTTCTTGGACTTGGAGCCATGAGCTGGCTCCACATCCACAGGTTCTGGTTTGATCTCATTCAAGGCATCCTTGAAAGCTTCAGGATCCTTAGTGTAAGAACCCCACTAAAGACAATCACCAAAGTTGTTTTTTTGGTGTTAAATGGTTTTATCCTGCGCACTCTTCCCAGTATAAAACAACAGCCATGTTTTTTAACACCCCATTCCTCATCAGTGAAGAGGGCATTGGCAGCCTCAATGTGCTTAGATCCCGGTTCATGGGACTCGCCCTCATGGCCTGCACCATCTGCTCCCTGGTCACAGCTGGCTGCAGGTTCCTTGGATGCGCCTTCAAGGCCAATATCATCAGCCAGAACAAGTTGAAGCTGTTGGTCACCCCAGATGTTGCTGCTGACATCGCTGTCCTGGGCCGCAGGATGCACATAGTTAGGTAAAGTATATAATTACAAGGAAAGGCAACTATATAGTACCACGATGAAACAAATATCCTGTGACCAATCTTGGGGGATGTTCACATGGTGGGTGTATAACAAATAGATTTGCAGGATTGTGCATGCATATGTTTTGAAACCTGTTTCAACCACACTTGGGCTAGCGACTACGTATCACCCTGATATCATTCAGACTAGTTTTTCACTCCTGTGTCAAAATGAAAGTTTCAAAGTAAGAACCAAGGTACCTCATCATTGGATGCCATCACAGGTTCGTCAACCATCCCCATGAAATGGTCAGGGATTCCATCTGAAGTATCACTCACAGATGATTCTTGGTCACTCCCCATGTGTTCGGTTTCAGCATCCGGCTCTGCCCCCTTCCCCACTGGTGTTGGGTCATCTTGGGCTTTCTCCATGAAGTCTTTGATCTTCTGAACCCATGGTGATCTGGAAGCATCTGGTGAATTCTGCCACATCCTGCAAGCTTGTAATGTGGCTTTTAAATGGACTCTTGGGACTGGGCAATGATGTAATTAAAACCGATTGGACAAGCACCTTTTTTTATTATGGACATTTCTGTTGAATAAAGGTTTTGAAAGGGACGAATGGTTCACACTAACATCCCACCATATGTCCTGCGAAGTCCAGACCACAATTTCTGAACCTTCCCCACCGTGTTCTTCATTTTGGTCTGTGTATCCTTTGGAGCGCACAAATGGATCATCAGTGTTCCCTGTTTGATTTTTTGAATGTGCCCTGACCCATGATTTTTTGAATGTGCCCTGACATGGGACAGCACATAAGGCAGCCAAGCAGCTGTGTGCTCATCAGCTCGGATAGCAAGGCCCTGCATGGAGCTTGGGATGGTTTGCATATTGTAATTGGGAAACATCAATAATCAAACTTTAATAAATTTCTGATTTGGGTTGGATACTTATAATATATGCATGGCTTGTTGCCTGGAAATGGTCGTTGAATGATTCCATCACAATCATCAGCTCCGGTTTCGATGGGTGGCGGGATCGAAATGTATGCAGCTTCAAGATTGAGTAGATGCACCAGTAGTTCTTCAACCTTAGATGGACATCTTAACCCAGCTGGAATTGGTAGAGTTATGTGGGGGTCCTATCAAACAAACACTGTTTCAAATTCTTTCAAAATCCCTGACTCCCGACATCCTGAAATTAGTGCGGATAGGAAACAAGTCTCTTTCCTTGGTTTTGCATTTGAAATCACCTATGAGCAGATCACACTCGGGTTGAACCGATAATGGAGTCACAGCCCGTTCCTGGAGCTTCTGTGGGATGCTGGCAGCCATTTGAATGCCCAACTTCTGTAAGGCAACAACATACTCCGCCTCCCCCATCTCTGGCCCAACGTGCATCCACTCGCTGGAATCGGCCACAGGAGATGCTGGTGAGGACGCTAGAGCTGGTGGGCTGTCCGACATGGTTGGCACCAACAAGTTTTTAACTTGAACCAAATGGTTTCTGAGGGATGTGGCAGAGCTTAAATCTTCCAGGCTTTTCATTTTGGGTAAGACTGATCCAATGCTATCCAAACAGGTTCAAACCAACACCGTATTTGGATTGAAAGAACCTCCAACACCCATGCCCTTTCAGCCGTAAGTATATTACCAAGACTCGCAGATGCCACTGAAGGCACTTTGGGATTGCCAAGTGGACATAGCCGTGAACGTTTGCTTGTTCCCCTATAGGCAACAACAAAAAGACTCCCGGCATAAAGAGGTTTTGGATGACCACTTTGATTGACTTGTGAACAGTTTTGTTGAGTTCGACATTGGGGCCATGAGTCTGGCAAAGCAACATGACTTGTCATATCTTGTCATATACCCATGATTGAAACAGGTTTGAAATGACTAGAGGCTGCATGATCTAAGATTTTGCACCTGGGATTGACTGAAACTTGAGACGAGTAGCCTGTTAACCCATATCCAAGATGAGCAAACTGGTGCTAGCCAAAAAAGGCCAGCCTTAGTTGGCAGCGATTGCGTGCGAGATGGATGGGGCTCTTGTGCACGATGCTTGAACTGTTTCTCAAGCTATCCTGTGATGAATGTTCAAAAGGCACTGGTAGAAACTGATACACGGATGGTATACATTACAAAATATAAAAGTATGTAGATGGGTTCACTGGTATAAGATTACATCAATGGTATTACTTTTGTTTGAAATCCCTTGTATAATCACAAGTGTTGCATACTTTGAATTGATCTGAGCAACACCACGGATTACCCTGGCGCACAAGGCCAAGGCGTAGGCAAAGCCTATGCCACTCAGGAAATCCTGCAGTGGGCTGTCGTCCAGCTCGAAGCTAGCAGCAGCATAGCCAAGAGACCTGTCCAGCGGTTTCACATGCGATAGATAGAAGGATGTTTCAAAATGCCAGCACCTTCAAATTCATGGTTCATCTATCAATTCTTCAGAGGAAATGTCCAAAACCTCAAATTGAATAATGTCAACCCCGGGTTAATAAACCATAGTTTATTAATTAGGGTGGTACTCCTCCAATAGTCATAATCCAATACTTAAATGGTATCCCCCCAATTAACCAGCCTAGGGGTTTATTAATCCAGGGTTGACATTACTGCACATGTGTTGATTTGGGGCTGGCATTTACCGTTGCACTGCTGGGTTGGCTCCATGGTTGATTCATCCCCAACCCCTAGCCTGAAGCCACCGCAAATGCTCTTGCATCCAGCGAAAATCTCTGCGCATCCCAAAGTCTGGGATCGAAGAGTGATGGGGATAGCGTGGAAGGGTTGACAACTGGTAACTGGTGTTTTTTTCTCCCCCAAATGATTGCTAGTTTCTTCAAGTTTGATGGTGAAGATATCTATGGATGATCTCACCTTGTGGGTTGAAAAAACGCATGTATCGACAATACATGTTTTTATATACAGTAAATATATACACCATGAAGTTGTTTGTTTGTAAAAAGACATCTTTATTTTTTATCGAACTCTAGGTGACAATATGTATGTATGTATGTATGTATGTAGGTAGGTAGGTAGGTATGTATGTATGCATGCATGTATGTATGTCTGTGTGTGTATGTATATGTAAATGTATATGTATGTGTATGTGTATGTATATGTACATGTATTTATTCATTCACCGATGCATACGGACAAGCAACCACCGCAGGTTGCGACATGCTTCGGAAGATCAGCTCGACCATGCTCAAGAGTGCAAAAGGAAATCCACCAGCATTCAATGCCACCAGCCTTGGATTGCAGCAGTGAGGTCATAGTTTGAATGCACCTACTGCAAAGTAACAGTTTTGAGTGAACACCTTGTTTGGTTGACGAAGTATACATGGGGATGTTATCAGCCGGTAAATGGTAATCCTGACTATTCAACGATACATGCAGCTTGACTTGCATGGCTGGCGCATGCAGGCGCCTGCCAAACAACTAGATTGATACAAAAAATGCAACACCCTCCATCTCCCTCCCATGGGTGCAACCAAAACACAAAGACACAAGTCCTGGATGGAGCTTGTCAGGCATCATGCGAAACGAACGGGTGGCCCCTGGCACCTGTGCCTTCCTAGCCTTGACCTTTTTGTGGCCACCCTTTTTGTTCTTCTCTGGTTTCAGCCTGTGCAAAGCCATGGCCCGAACCACTGCGCCTGCAAATCTTCAAATGGCTGCGTGCATGAAAGAAACACGCCGTAATCCACAACCATGCATGGTAGCGGAGCTGGCACTCCCCATAATTGGAACCATCATTCCCCATTATTTTGAAATTGCTGTTCTCTCCCGCTGCAGCATTCCACACCCAGCATGGCGGAGGGGGTGGCACCTTCCATCCTATGACCGTGCTGGCATTGACCAGCTCCAGTGTCCACATAGCACCGCTTTGGCAAAGCATGCCGAGATGCATTCGCCAGGTTGAAAAAAAAAACTCCAAAGATTTTGGACTGAAGAATTTGTGGCTGGTCACGTGCACAGATCATGTGACTGGCACGCAGACAAGTAAATGTTGCTATCTGTTTAAAAAAAATCACGCATGCAACACATGAATCTGTTCATGCAACACATGAATCTGTTCGGTCTCGGACTTGAATCTTCAAAAATAAATGCAGCAACGCCTGCTCCATGCATGCATGGAAAACCATGGGAGGTTTAATTGCACCAAAAAGGAAACATCGACACAAAAACAGAGAGAAATCTGTGATATATTTAAAAAATATATCTATTATCTTTTTTGTTCGGACAGCGCATGGTTAACCACCCGTGTGGGCGGAACCAATTTGAGCCAAAAAAGAAATATAGTATCCTTTTCTTGCCAATAGATATATATATATATATGTATATATTGCGATCGAACTCCACCATGATTTCCTACCACTTGCAATATGTTCTGGTATAAGGATTTTCTTTGTTGTTTCTTTCATTTTCATTTCGTCAGAATTTCGTCAGACTTTTCGTCGGGTGCTTTGTGGCAAAACGTTTTGCCACAAGATTTTGCCACAAATTCTTTCGTCAGAATTTCGTTAGGATTTCGTCAGAACTTGAATTGAAGCAACGAAATCTTTGACGAAATTTCGACGATTTTTTTTTGTGGCAAAATGTTGTGGCAAAACGTTTTGCCACAAGGAAAATTTCGTCAAAACCCTGCATTTTGACGAATTTTTCCTTGTGGCAAAACGTTTTGCCACAACATTTTGCCACAAAAAAATTCGTCAAAATTTCGTCAAACAATTCGTTCAAATTTCGTCAAACTTGAGTTGAAGTAACGAAATCTTTGACGAAATTTCAACGAAATTCTCACGATCATTTTTTGTGGCAAAAGGTGTGGCAAAATGGATTGCCACAAGGATTGCCACGAAATCTTCAACGAAAGCTTTAACGAACTCTCAACGACCGACTGACGTTATACCATTCCTATTGCAAATCATGAGCAGCACCAACACAATGTATATATATATATAGCGCATTGGTCGTGCACATGCATGGTTTAAACCATGAATTTTCTACATGCAGCATGCATGCAAAGGCAAAATCAATGACATCAAATTGACACATGGCAAGGAGAGCCTTTGACAGCGCTCCTTACCCAAAGGCTTCTTCTGCCAACAGCATATGGGCAATGAAAGCAGTTGGCCCCAAAGGCTTTTAATGAAGCACTCTCGGCTCTCTAGGCAGGTGGTGTTGGACTGGATCTGCGCGTTTGAGTCCGCGGCGTCGTCGTCGCAAAGCATTTCTCCAGACACGGCATGAGCTCCTTCAGACCGTGGTGTGTTGCCTGAACTGGGAGGTGCTAGGTTTTCCGTTAGAGCCACCCAAACACGCTCAGCTAGGAGCGCCAATATCCGTACAGCAGCATGAGATTCTTGAGCGTATCGAATCCATGTTGGATCATTTCCTTCGCATGCCAGAATTTGAAGGGGACGGGTTGGGACGGGCTCAGGAAAAGTATTCAGTCAAACATAATTAAACACATACAGGAACTGCCCTTCAGTGGGTTCGAGGACCTAGCCAAATTAGCTGAGCTAGTGCATGACAAGTTCGACCCGTATCGTGGCCATTTTGGCCGTGCTAGTGAGTTTCAGAATGTCGCTGCAGCTGAGCCCCCTGCCCGTCCGTCTGGGGCGACCTCAGGTCCCAGCATCATCCCTCCACCTAATCCAAGCGGTGCTAGGCCTGTCGTGTCAGACCGTGTGAAATGGGAAAAATCCGCCCAGCTTTGATGCAGAGCCTTTTCTGTCAGATCCATTGGTGCGTGCTGCTTTTGTAGATCCCGAAGTTTTGCGTAAGGATCCTTCTGAATGGCCCCCCAAGCAGACTCCAAAGGTAAACTGTTCTAAGAGTGAATTGCTAAAGTTTGCTAGTCGGTGGGATGAGCTAGGTGCATGTATGCTGCTTCCCTTGGAGCAGAAGAATTTCAAGGAAGCAGTTGGTCTCTTCTGTGTGGGGAAAGATGCCAAGTATGATCGTCTTATCATCAACCCAGTCACCATAAACAGCCGAATGCACAGCATTTCCAAGTCCACCAAGGAATTGGCACCAGGATGTATGCTCGGTTTGTTGCATTTAAGGCATTTACCTTTGATTCGGGGCGCCAAAATGAATCAGGGCGCCAAATATCAATGGTGAAACTTACATGAAATGCTGAGAAGCAGGTCATGCTGAGAAGCACACAATCTGCTGAAAAGCATGTTTTGTTGTGACATTATCATGCCTATTTTTTTTGACGGAAATGGTAAAACTTAAATGCTGAGAAGCAGGTCATGCTGAGAAGCACACAATCTGCTGAAAAACATGTTTGGTTGTGAAATGTTTATTTTTTGACGGAAATGGTGAAACTTACATGAAATGCTGAGAAGCAGGTCATGCTGAGAAGCACACAATCTGCTGAAAAGCATGTTTTGTTGTGACATTATCATGCCAATTTTTTTTGACGGAAATGGTGAAACTTAAATGCTGAGAAGCAGGTCATGCTGAGAAGCACAAAATCTGCTGAAAAACATGTTTGGTTGTGAAATGTTTATTTTTTGACGGAAATGGTGAAACTTACATGAAATGCTGAGAAGCAGGTCATGCTGAGAAGCACACAATCTGCTGAAAAGCATGTTTTGTTGTGACATTATCATGCCTATTTTTTTTGACGGAAATGGTGAAACTTAAATGCTGAGAAGCAGGTCATGCTGAGAAGCACAAAATCTGCTGAAAAACATGTTTGGTTGTGAAATGTTTTTTTGACGGAGATGGTGAAACTTAAAATGCTGAGAGGCAGGTCATGCTGAGAAGCACAAAACCTGCTGAAAAGCATGGTTTGTTGTGAAATGTTTTTTGATGGAAAAAATAATTTAATGGATGTCTGATTGGGGAACATTCAAGAAACACCCAAACTGGAACTAAAAGGTATGGTCGATTTATTTTCGTATATATGTTGATTTTCTTTGTGCTGATAAGCACTATTTTGCTGAGAGGCAATTACTGTGCTGAGAAGCACTGAAAAACAAACCTAACTCGAAATGCCATGAGTACCATTTATCCAATCACTGAATGTCACCAACCCCAGGTATGTTGAACAAAAACTTCAAGATTTGTTTCAACTGTAGATTTAGTTTACATGACATGAATCCATGTAGGATCCAATCAAGGAAATATTGAATATTATAGTTAAATGGGGCCTTCTTAGTATCTGTCCTGTCAGGAACCTTTCAGGCACTGTCCATCCTCGAGCACTTCAAGCTCTTCAGGTCTCACTGTGTTGAAAAGCACGATGCTGAAAGGCATCAGAGACCGAGTCGAAAAACTCTTTCCAGCCGAAAGGCTGTGTGATAGTGCTGAAAAGCACAGGTGCTGAAAAGCACCCTCGTCGCACAGGGCGACAGGCTGGAAGTTTCACCTGGCATCCCAGTGCCAACATTTTTTTTGTAAACGGCTGACGCCAAGGTCAGTCCCTCCAAGTAAACTTGCCATGCAAGCAGTGAAACCTTGGGAAGTCTCATCCAGTATGAGTGGGATGTCGGGTGCCCTTCTCACTGCAGCCAGTGTCCATCGGCCCATTTGGGTGGGGGCGGCCTTAAGTGGACCCTGCCGGCACTGTCTCTGTGGGTCGGAAAATCTCGTCTCTCCAGGATACGGTGGGATGCACCAAGGGAGTAACTGGTTGTCATGGGGAGTTGAAGGAGGATACTAGAAAAGGGGATGGGTGCACCCCCCTGCCAGGTTGAAGACGCATACACATACTGCATGGACTCACCAAACGTACAAGCGTACACGCGCACGCACGCGCATACAGAGACTGTGTGCCCAAGAATGTGTGCAGTATACAGCGAACTCACAAGTATTTTCACTCCCCGCATGAGTAATATTTAACCTAGGTGTGTCTGCATATATATATATATATTATATGTGTGTGTGTGCGTGCAGCATGCAAGGACAATCAAAACATCATCATGGTGAAATACATTACCTCAAGAAGTATGATTCTAATTTTACTTTCGTGTATTTTCTTGGGATCCAATGATGACAGGGGATGGAAAAAATTGGCATGTGGCATGGGAACCAACTTTTCACCAGGAATACTGCTGACATGTTTCTTGGTAGTTGGTCAGCAGTCATGCTTGTCAATTGTTTTGCAAAAAAAGTAGACTGAATAAAGCTATCTTTAGCTGTGCTTTTCAGCACAAGAAGTCCATGCTTTTCAGCACAGAAAAGGCACACACACAGGAGTCAGACGAATTACTGTCACTGTAAAAGATTGCAATCATCCACCCAGACGTGTCCTCACGAAGTGCAGGAAGAAAGAATGCCCTTGAAGCTTCGCAGGACTTCAAGTTCCTTGGCCACAAAATGATGCAGAATTAGTTGAAAGGTGTCTAAGATTGGATTTACAGCTATGATCATGTGTTTGCAAGATTTTTCAAGTCTCATGCATGTTCGGACAAGCTGAGCTGCGGCAAGCTGAAACTGCGCTCATTTTTCCATCATCGCATGTTTGGAAGATAGGAGCGTTTAGATCACCCTCCCCTATCAACTTTTTTGCGCTTGGAATCCTGCCCAGAAGAAGCAGGTGTAAAAAAAAGAGTTCTATAAGGTTTGCTCACAACCCATTTGCGGTATGAAAAATGGCAACTTACCATGCCTTGACCTTCTCCTCCGGTGGATGCTCCCTCTTTTTTTTGGCAGCGGCACCGTGGTGCTGTCGGCATCCTGAAAAAATAGAACCCAAAATCAAGTAATGTAATGTTCAAGGAGATGGAACTTGCCAACTGTCCTCATCCTTGATTTCTTCTCAGATTGTTTTTTTCCTGACAAAAAAAGTGTAGGTTGCAACATGTTGTGAAAAATATCAGTCCTCGCATTAACACCCACTGGGTAGCTGACGAAGATTTTGGCGCGGCCCCCTTCACGAAAGGCTGCGACTGCATGAGATGCGTGTGAACACAAAATGGAAGAATGACAGTCATACAGCGTCTAAGCTTTAAAAAAGATATTAATTGAAACATCATTTTTTCAAGAATAGTCAGGGTGGTGCCTTTTCTGCAAAAAATTCTTGCGTTTTTTTGGCATCTTTGAGCCAGCCCAGTATGAAGTCCCTGGCCTTGGATGCACTGCTTGCCCCAGTCGGTGATGTCCCAGCTTCATGCTTTGTGGCCTGTACAACTATCATTAATACAAAAACTCATGCAATGACCAAGAACAAGAAGCAGTGCCTGTCACCACAGCGAATTTGTGCTTTTCAGCACAGTGTGTTGTGCTTTTCAGCACAGTGTGTTGTGCTTTTCAGCACAGTGTGTTGTGCTTTTCAGCACAGTGTGTTGTGCTTTTCAGCACAGTGTGTTGTGCTTTTCAGCACAGTGTGTTGTGCTTTTCAGCACAGTGCGTTGTGCTTTTCAGCACAATGTGTTGTCCCTTTCAGCACAATGCCAAGTTCAAGCCCTTTTCAAAGCCCCTCGCCTTGGCTCTGCTGCTTGCCCCAGTCTGTGGAGATGTCGTTTCTCTTTCCTAAAAAATCAGGACAGAAATGATCTCAGTATATCTCAGTAGTGTGGTTGCACAGGCTGTCACAGACATGACTGACAGAGTGTTAGTTCAAACATCAGAAAACTTGTAGTCCTTGGATCCACGGCTGGGTCCGGGTTCACTCTTGGGTGGCAAACATTCAAAGATCATTGAGAGTAGACTGAACAGCAACAGTGTGAGAGTGTGTAACTTAAACCATGATTGAGCCAAGTGTTTGGCTTCTAGGGCCCTGCCTCTTTTTTCTTCTCCTCTTTTTTCTTCTCCTCTTTTTTCGGTTCTTCTGGACTTGGCATCTGCTTGGGCTGAATCCTCGCCTTCGGTTCTTCTGGAATCGGCATCTGCTTTGGCTGAATCCTCGCCTTCGGCTCTTCTGGACCTGGCCTCACCTTCGGCGTCTGTTTCAACACCAACCCAGTCCTGTTTCCTAGAGGCTGTGGGAGTTTGGCTTTCGTTCGCTCTCCTTCGTCTGGTTCCTGCCCTGGTGGCTGCCGTTGTTGTTTGGGAGGTGGTGGCTGCTGTGGTTGTTTGGGAGGTGGCCCTGCTGTCTGCTGTGGTTGTTTGGGAGGTGGTGGTGGTGCCTGCTGTTGTTGTTTGAAGGGAGGTGGTGGCTGCTGTGGCCGCCCGGGAGGTGGTCCTGGTGGCTCTGCTGGTCTTTGATGACCTCGGACTGCTGCTGGCGTGGCTGGGCCGACTGGTGATGCTGCTGGTGCTGCTGGTCCTGGTGCTCCTGGTGCTCCTGGTGCTCCTGGTGGTGACCTTGGCTGCAGGCATGCTGGCAAGTTCGATCCAGCTTGGCCATGGCCCCATGGGTGGCCTGGATGGCCCAGCGGACCCGGGGAGAATCTGCTGATCCAGCGGCGGTGGTGCCATGTTGTGCATTTGCTGCTGCTGCGTCTGCTGCTGCTGCTGCATCTGCTGCTGGAGCTGCTGTTGTTGCATCTGCTGCTGCAGCTGCTGCTGCACGGCTTGCTGTGCCGCCATGGCCTGCTGTGCCATCCCAGCAGCCTGCGCTGTGAGGAGCTGCTGCCCCCTTTCTTGGAGCCATTGCAGCACCAGTGGGGCCTGTGGCTGCCGCCCCTCCTCCAGCTCGAACATCACATCATCCAACGGAGGGCATTGGAGCTGTCTGAACAGCCAACTGACAGCCCGGTGCATGTTCGTGTTGGCCGTGACCGCCCTCTGTGCTCGTCTGAGCATGTAGCCCACCCCCTGTCGCTGAGGGCCCTGTCCTCCTTTGCCACCTCCCCTTCCAGCCATGGCTGCGCTTACCCCGAGGAGTTTGTGTCACTTTTGAAGTTGGGATTCCCTGCCTGAGTTTGTGTCACCTTTGAAGTTGCGGTGTGTTAGAATTATGTCCAACAATTTGTGGAGGGTGTCATTGACCTGAGGTTGCTGGTTTTAATGATGTGTCCATCCAGCTGTCATTGAACTTCTTTAGACTCTAGAGCATGCTGCCGAATGCTTGCTGCTTAGGCACTGTAGGGTGGGCCTGCTGTTTTTTTCTTTCACCTTAAGTCTGCCCCATCGCCCTTTTCTAAAGAGCATAATGGCATCGCGTAAATCACTGACATATATTCACACACTGCAAGTCTAAGTTTGTTTTAAACTGTGTTCTTTGAACCTGCATCACAAACTCTGCAGCAGCTCAGCAAAAATCAACGACATGTTGATGGCTTGTCAGCCCTGAAAACCATGCTTTTCAGCAGATCCTTGCTTTTTCAGCATGTTCGGATATTTCGACTGAGGCTGTGTCCAAGAAAGGGAGATGTTCCAGCCTTAGCTCCAGGACAATGCGGCACGTGTCAATGCAGAAAAGCTTACAACTTGCTGAAAAGCACACTACTGAGTACTGCTGAAAAGCAGAAGCTGAAAAGCTGCGTGCGTGCTGAGAAGCACACCACTGAGTACTGCTGAAAAGCAGAAGCTGAAAAGCTTGCTCGTGATGTCACGGCCTTCAACCTCAGCTTGAGAGTACCCATTCCAGATCCGATTTGCATTCACTCCAAACCCGGGTTTGGAATAGGTCATGCCCGACACAGAGTGAGATGCATCAACCCGCATGTTTTCTTCCTGGCAGGGATCCTAGAATCTGAAAACTTGACGATGACTAATTGCCAATCTTGTGTCCCCCGGCCCATTTCCTTTGAGGGTACATTATGTCCACTAAATTTGGGTTTTTGATTTTCATTTAGTAAAGAAAATGTTGTACTTCTTACATGGGGCCCGCCTCTGTATCTGGGACCACTTATGTAAACACTGTCCAATTCAATTAATGGAACAACATAGTGTGCTTCGAAACAGGGGTCGCTCATTTTGTAGACACAGAATCCTCGCATTTTGTAGTGGATGTCAAGGCCGTATGACGTGTCTAGACTAAAAACTGATATAATAGTATTCCAAGGAATTCCGTGGTATGTTGTAGTGAAAACTCTTTAAAATTTTATCATTTGTAGAGCACATGCCATCATGTGTTTCGTAGGGGACACGCCAGTGTCGACCACAATTTAGGTCACCAAAAGTTCACCGCCCTAATTGGCCGGGGGACGACGTTTTGACAATGTGAAGAATGAATTCTTGAAATTGTCCAAGGGTAAACAAGACCTGTGTGCCACACACTTCACTGGCCGAGGAGAGGTCAAATGTTCTTCCTCGATATGGTGGAATGCTCGTGCAAATCGTGCACGCCTTGGTTACCTGCATAGGTAAAACGCATGGAACTGAGAGGCCGTCTTATCTTGCACTCAGAAGCCACGGTCTCTCTACTGCTGAGAAGCAAGCCCGCCATCATGGCAGACACCAGGGGCTCAAAGTAGCCGCAGAAACCTAACACCAAGACGATGCAAGAAGCATGAATGGCATCAACAGTACCAACCGCAATGCATTGAATTGACATCATACACAAAAACGAATTCAAAGTGCTTTGAAATAGACAACTTTGCCTTTCAGTGACCATGACTGATAGCATGATACTGGCGCACCCTTTCAAGCGACATATTGTTAAACATGAATATAATTTTCTGATCAGCATTTGGTTGAAGCTTCCCATGTCCCATCATCGTGTTTTAGAAAGACTGAATGCACTCAGTGATTCAGAGTGCGACGAGCCTGGAGTGGTTAAAGCAGAGGAGCTGACCGATTCAGAGGATGGGCAAGCTCAAGGAACACGTTCCAAGCCTTCTGATCCAGAAGATCTTCATAAAATCTGGGCTCGGAAATTGAAAGGTTATATGTGTGAGTGCTGCAGAAAGAAGAGAGCAGGTTCAGAGAGTTGCTTTGCCTACTTCTGTGGCGTGGGCTTCAATGATCTGGTTAAATTCCATTGCCAGTTTCTGCAGATGGGAAAGTTAGACCAAGATCGACTGGCTACTTGGCTTTTTTTTCAACCTCCTGACGTGTTGTTGAGTTTACTGCAGACAATTCTGCGAGTCTGTGTGAAGTGAACAGAATGCGTTTGAGTCAAGCAGATCTTGTGAACATTAGTTGGGACTGGCAGCTAAGATATTTGATCATCTACGTGAACTAGCGATCTCATGTGGGGCCTTGGACCCTCGTGCAAATGGGCTGGCAGTTTCAGAGCTCCAATCACAGCGAAGCCCTCTTCAATACTACTTCAATGGGAGACAGCTAGGTGTGCAGAGGAGCTTGGATCAAACTGCAAGGTATCGGCAAGTCTCGATTTCATCGGATTTTGGAGGCTATACTGTCAGGAAAGCTTTCTGCGCCAGTTGATATGAGATTTCTGAAGAAAGGATTGCACAAGGCAGTGTCAAGCAAATGGGGGGAAGTTCACGGATACCTGCTGGAGCTCTATGAATGCCAGGCTGAAACCCTTCCAGATGATGCAGGGCCAGGATCTGATGATGAAGACGCTTTGCAACATGCCGATGAGAATGAAAGCACGCCCATCATTCACATCAGAAGAGCTGACGGTACTCAAGCCAAGTCTGTACCAACAGCAGAGAAGGTCACCAAGCAGAGGGAGGAACGCTATCTGCCACAAAGCACAATGTTTGATCATTGGAAGCAAATGATCACACTTCGGCCTGAGATCGAGTGCAGCCTCCGACTCTTTTGGCAGGTGTGGTGCTCTGACTTCTACATGATGAAGATTCGCAAAGGCTTCACCCATCGCTGCTGCACTGTGTGCCTTAAGCACAAAGCGTTGATCCGACAGCTTGCTCACGACATCAAGTCGAGAGAGAAGCAACGATCCCTCTGGCAACGCCACATTGACAGCCAATACCAGGACCGAACCCTGTACTGGCACGTCAGGTCAATGGCGCGGCTGCACAAGCAGCCCATTGTGGTCATACTGGATGGTGCTGATCAAGCAAAATTTTGCTGGCCTAGAAACCGCTGTTTTGCAGCGCATCAGTTTGACAGCGTGATTCGGCCCCGGCTCCACATTGTCGCAGCCATAGCGCATGGCTTTGCAGACATCCTTGCACTCAGCCACTGCGACGTGCACACCGGTGGGTCTGCGACAGTGGAACTGGTGGCATATGTTTTGACACTGTTTGTGAAGCAAGGGGTATCTTTGCAAGGTCGGGATCTATACCTACAGTTGCACAATGCTGCATCCTCCAATAAGAATTTGACTGTTTTCGCATTCGCTGCAACACTTGCGGCTCTGTCTGAGCTGTCATCTGCAACTGTGCAGTTTTTGAGGAGCGGTCATTCTCACGAGGATGTTGATCAGCAGCATGGCCAGATGAGTTCATTCACCAGAAACAGACTCACCGAGGCACAGACGCTGGACGACTTCAAAACAGCCTTGCAGAGTTTTCTGGAGAAATTGGACAGACCGCATGAGCCTCTTCGTGTGGTGACTATCCTGGATGAGATGAGAAACTGGAAACTGTACTTTGAGAAGCTGGGCGTCCAGATGAAGGACATGGTGGGCAGCGTGCTCCACACGTCTTCAACTTCAGACTGGAGGGTGACACCGTGGTGCTCAGGCAGGGCTTGCTGCCCGATAAACATCTTTAACCATCAAAACCTATCACATATCACATATCTACAAGATCAGGATGCTGAGAAGCAGCCAAAACCTAACTAAATGCTGAAAGTTCATTCATAGCAATCAAAATCTGAATGTTGAAAAGCATTCAGCTACATTATTCATGCATTATATATTTATAGGATCAGATTGCTGAGAAGCAACCATTACATTGCTGAGAAGCAACCATTGCTGAGAAGCAACCATTGCTGAGAAGCAACCATTGCTGAGAAGCAACCATTGCTGAAAAGCAGCCAAAGTCTTTATGGGAATATTGTTTTTGAAAAGCAAAGGTGAGACTGATAGCTGAGAAGTGGCACTAGTGTGACTGTGTGATGAGTTCCAGTTCAGCATACGACTAATGAAGCTGTCATACCATGGCAGGTGTCGACAATTCATGAGCGACATTTCCTGGCCTTGTCGGCTGGATTTTTGCAGCACCAACGACATCAAGCAGTTGCCGAGGGATGGTCCAGCAGATCTTTTCCCCAGGAGGAAGAAGACCAAGGACTATATCAAGAACATCTTCAAACTGGCAGATGCTGTGGAGCAAAAACCGTGGTTCATGCGCAGAGCAGCACAGGAACTTCGCGATTGGGTGAATGAAAAACATGCGCGGCCTGACTTGCTGGACATCAGCTTCATCTTGGATTGTCTCAAGTTTCAACGGCCACCGAGCAGGATGGATCCCATGAACTTCTTTGTAGACCAGCAAGCTGGACAAAGAGCTGTTGGGCTGGAGCCCATGATGGCTCGGATGGTGGTCTCTCATGCAGGTCGCAGGTTTAATTCGGCCAATCCTGCTGGTCCTGATCATCTTACACCGTCGATGGAAGCTGAGTTTGTTTACTCAGTGGCTGCTGAGTTGGTGACCCACCACAACTTTTCTTGGCCCAACGCCATCTCCCTTGGAGAGCAGAGTTGGGCACGGTTTCCCAAACAGCAAAAAAAACGCTGTAAAAAAGGTCATCAAAAATGATGCCGAAGAAGATGGCATGCTCGAGATGCCAGTTCGGGACTTGTAGATCTTGTAGGAAAAAAAGGCTAGTGAGCTGGTAGATCTGATTGCCGACAGTTGAAATTCAGTTAAGGTATGAAGAGACTGAAATACTCTTAGCTTGATCTGGCTGCCGACAGTTGAAATTCACTTAAGGTATGAAGAGATTGAAATACTCTTAGATTCGTGGCAGAGGATCAGTACAGCTTGAGAATAAGTGGACATTTTGACCCGCCACTGTTTCATCTTGTTGGTAGCAACTGGCTGCTGATACATCATCTGATTGTCAACGACAGTTGAAATTCAATTGAGATTTGATAAGAAGCTCGTGAAAGAAGTTCAGCTACAGCTTTATATTCAGTTGAAAAATGGCACATCAGGTCATCAAAGCTTTCCGACACTGCGTTGACATTCAGTTCAAGTCCAGTTGCCCCAAAACCGCTGCCCATCATGAAGCTCCAATGGCACTAAGACTTCTAAATTTATTTATTTTCACATCAGGCACTTAATGAAAATATTAGTAGTTATCTTAACTTACCCTGTCCATCGGATATTGATCCTAATCAATAAGTTTTTGAGCTTATTGATTCCTTGAAAAAATCAACAGAAAATATTGATTTCATAGGGTTTTCAAATCAACAGAATATTGATTTTTAAAATCAATATTTCAACAAAAAATCAACAGAAAAATCAACAGGAAAATCAACAAGAAAATCAATATGAAAATCAATATTTCTAGGAAAAAAATCGACAGGAAACCACCCGGGAAACCACCCTTTTTTGTCCCACAGAAGAGCCACTTGTGGGCTTAAGGCACACACCTTTTGTCAAGGTGCACCTATGTTGTTTTGTAAAGGAAGCTCTGCAAGCCTTGTGTCAAGGCTAGCCTCTTGCCAAGGCTTCTTGTTGACCAAAACCCTTTTGCCAAGGGAGTTCCCACAAGGAAATTCCTTTTTGTCAAAGGGAGATGCCAGGATCCTTTGGTCAAGGTGTGCCTGGTAGACAAGGAGCTGACCCTTTTGCCAAGGAAAGATTTTGTGAGCAGGGTGGGCAAGGATAAACCCTTTTGTCAAGGTATTTCCATGCTTGGCTCCCAATGCGCATTGTCAAACCCCAGCCTGTCGAGCTGGAGGTGCAGGAGCACTTGGTATTTGTCATTGATTTTGGAGCACAGCCTTGTAGACTTGACTCCATGCACCACACTGGATCCCAAAGTGCTCATCCTGCCCACAAAATCTTCTGACCTAAAGTTCCAGCAACACCTGGGGTTGATATCACAGGAGCTCTTGACCATGTGACCACAGGTGTGAAACTTCATGGTGATGTGGAACAAATATCTGTCAGCTTCTTCTGCCCACTCATTCAGCCAGGAGTAGCTGGAAAAGAATTGCCTGGCTAGCTTCCTGGCCTGGCCATATGTCCTTTTGTCAAGGAACATCCCAGCATCATCAAAAAGCTGGATCAAATCAACCATGCTTGACAGAGCATGCACCATATGTTGGTGCACCTCATCTGTTGAATCAAGCATGGCTTTGATCACAGGCAGAAGAGCAGGCATGAAATGCTTGCACTCTGCTGCTTTGCAGTCCAGCTTTGGGTATTCCTTGTGTGGACTCTTCACATCACAAACCATGGAAAGCTTTAGGTTTGTGAGCCTTGTGGGTCTTTTTTGCTTTTTGTATTGGTCCTGGACTTGGGAAAATACAAGTGCTAGCCTGTCACTTGGTCTGATGGATTGCTTTCCTTTTCCATCGAGGTAACACAAGAAATGTAAGATGCTGCCACAAAGGTGTGAGCAGACACCCTTTGCAAACAAGACATGGAGGCCATCATGCCTCACCATCTTGGTGCTCAAGCCTTCAATTTGGAACAGAGGGTGCTGTTCCATGCCTTTTGTCAAGGCTTCTGCATGGCTCAAGCATTCAAAGGCCTGCTCTTCTTCCTTCAGCAACTTAAAAGATTTTCCTTCAGGGCATGGCACCCCTTTTGTCAAGGGTTGCTGGCAGTCACACTCCCAGCAGGGAAACTTGCTGTTCCAATGAGGGAGGCCCAGCACCAGGCTGTACATCTCATGGTCCCTTTGGATGGACCACACCACACCTCTGAAGCCTTGAGGAGTGAGTGGTGTTCCAGCCAGTTTTTCAAACATAGACCCTTTTGGCAAGGGCTCATTGTCTGGCCCAACACAGGGGTGAAAGCCATCTTGCAAACTTTCCAGTGACCATTTGATGTACTTCATGATGGGTGTCCAGGTCGACTCCATGGTGCAAGACTTTGGAAAGGCACAGATCAGCATGTGGCTTTGGAGGCTGCTGAACTGTGAAAGCAACCCTCCCCAGTTCCAGCACATGATAGTGTCCCTGGTCTGGAACTCCACACCATCTGCATGAATGAACAGTGGCACTGTTCTTTCAGCATTCACCACATGCCTTTTGGCAAGGCCTTGCCTTTTGTCAAGGCAGATGGGGTGGCCTTGCAGCCTCTCATCCTTGACTGCTTCCACATTTTTCCAGAATGCTGCCAGCTCAGAGCATTTAAAGATTTTCTCAAACTGCTCTGAGTAGGATGTAGCAAGGTCTGCAAAAAGCAGATGTGGCAAGTACAGCGAAGCAGTTTCAACTCCCACCTTTGAAGTCTTTGGGTCCCTGACCTGCACATCTACTTCATAGGCTTTGGTCAATGCATTGCTCTTGCAATGTGTTGACATGAAGTCTCTGTGGCAGTTGCCACTGGCCTCGCCCCAGTTGCCAGCAGATGCCATCTGTATCAATTCCTCATGGTGGGCTCCATCCAAGACAGCCAGGTGGGCAAGCTGCTGGCAAAGGGTGGCAGACAACTGCCCATGGGCCCACAGGCTCAAGAGCTTGGTGACCAAGCCACTTTTCTCAGCCTGTGCACCTTTTGTCAAGGGCTTGCCCTTCCTTTTTTCAAGCTCCAACTGGTGACCTCTCAATCTTTTAGCCTTGGGGAGGTCCATGATTTGAAGCACCCTCTTGTCAAGGGTTTTCTATGTTCTTTTGACAAGGACCTCCTTTTGTCAAGGACCACTAGCTTCTTGCTAATGGTTTTGCCTTTTGCCAAGGGAAAGAGATTCCTAACTAAATTGAGCCAAAAAGCTGCAGACATATATCTACATTTTAGTTAGGAAAGCATTCCCCATACATCAACCCTTTGGACCACCACAAACCCTTTAAGAACCCAAAAAACACAAAAACAACACCATTCCTCTTGAGGGTTTTTTGGGGTTATTACTTTACATCCTGGCTGTAAGCTGCAGCATTTTTTTTAACACACAGCTGGGTCTGCCTTGCAGCTGTTCAAAAACATGTGCACCAAGGGAGCCTTTTGCCAAGGCTGCTGGGACCTTTTTGTCAAAGGTAATGCAACTTTGCCGAGGATCACTTGGCTGTTCCTGCCTTGGAGTAGGCTTTGTTTGCCACAACTGAGATCTCCTTCTTCTGATCCTTCAGCTCCTTGCTCAGTGTGGTGGCATCCTGGATCAGACCTTTAGCTTTTGTCAAGCTAAGAGCTTTCTTCCCCTTGAGCAAGAGGTCTTTGCACTTCTTCTCCATTGCTTGGGCTTTGCTGAGCAGTGTGTCTGCATCCTTCTTGGTGCCCTTGCTCAGCCTTTGGCAGCTGGCAGCTTTTGCCATATCCTCCTGCAGATTGGCCTGGCTGCTCACCAAGAGGTCCCTGGCTTTCCTTGCTTTTGTCAAGCATGTGGACCACTCCTGGTCCTCTGTCTTATCATCATTGTCATCATCCTCATTGGGGTCACCATCTTCCAAAGCCAGTTGAGGCTGTCCTCTGGCTTTGCCTTTGCCCCTTCCCTTTGAGGCTGGCTTTCCTTTTGTCAAGGCTTTGCCCTTCCCTTTGCCTTCCAGTTCCAGAAGGTGGCTGCTGAGGTCCTTGGTGAAGTGGCTGTCCCAAGCTTCTTCATTCTCAGCTTCATATTCCTGCCCCCAAGCATATGCATTGCTATGGGTGACAGTACTTGTTTTCTTGATGTCCCCCTGGTCTTGGTATTGGTAGCATCCCCCTGTCCATGGGTCTGCTCTCCACTTCACTCGACCAGAGGCCAAGTGAAGCTCCAGCTCTTCTCTGGCCAAATTTCTGCAGCATCTGAAGTTCTGACTCCCATGTTTCTCCTTTTGTCAAGGAGACACCTGAGTTCAACTCCTGCTTTAAGGCCATGAACTTGGGAGCCTCAGCCTTCAAGAGGCACATGGTGGCATAGATGCCAATTTCCTTCTTGGACATGTTTTCCACCTTCTTTGCTTCTGCTGGGTCATTTTTCATTTTGGTTTTCATTTTGGACCATGCACTTTGCTGCTCCTTGGGGGTCAATTGTTTTTTCAATGCTAGCACTGCCTCTTCTGCAGTCTCAGCTCCTTCTGTGGCTTTCTTGATTCTTTCTTTCAGGCTTAGCTCCCCCAGGTCATCCAATGCTTTTTTGTTCAAAGCATTTTTCTGCTTTCCTTTTGTCAAGGGTGTGTCCTTGCTAGAACCTGCCCTGGTTTTAGTTTTAGCTTTGGCCTTGGCTTTACCTTTTGGCAAGGTTTTCATTGCAAATTTGCCTTTTGCCAAGGCTTTGCTCTTTTGGTTTCCTTTTCCACCTTTGCCCATTTCCCTTTGGCCAAGGGAGAAGGTGCACTAATACACTTTTGAATTGCTTGAGAAACAAAATGGCTGAGGTTTGGCAAACCTGATGCACCATCACAAACATTGCATGCTATGGGGCCTAGTAAATGCAAACTAAAGTAAATAATGTGTTGAAAATAAATATATATATATATATTGGACTGTTTGGATTGAACATATATGTTAAAAATAAAAACATATATTGGACTAGTTGGGTTGGACCAACAACTACAACATTTTCCAAACAATGAAACCACTATTTAAAAAATATTTCAAAAATATTTCAAAAAATATCAAAAAATGAAAACTGATGAAATCTGATGAAATCTGATGAAATCTGATGAAAACATAGGTTTTCATCAGATTTCATCAGATTTCATCAGTTTTCATTTTTTTGATATTTTTGACATTTTTTTCCCAATCCAAAATATTTCTGATTTTTTTTTGGAAACAATATTTGAGCCTTTTGTCAAGGCAATGTGCTGTTGATTACTTCAGAAACCACATGAAAACTGAATGCCTTTTGTCAAGGCAAACTGTGTTTCCAAAACTGAAATATGTTGTGTTTCCCTAGATCCCAAACCAATGTACACCTGAATTCATTGTGGTGGTTCCCAAAAATGTTTTGATGACAAATGGGTCCCTTGACAAAAGGGTTATTATACCCACTTATTATTTGATGAACCATTCAAAAATGAAAACAAATTACACACCTTTGAGGGGCTCCCAATCAAACACCCTTAGCCCATTTTTTTTTTTGCTGCAATCCTGCCAGCATCCATGAACCTTTTGCCAAGGTTTCCCATTGCAGTGCCACAGCCTCTTGGGCCTTAACAAACATTGTGGACCACACCAGTATGTATACATATATATGTTTATGTATGTATAAGTGCTGTAGGAGATTTTATTTACTTACAACATTAGACTGTTTCAAAAAAAAATCAAGAGGCTGTGGCAACTGCAAGGTTTTAAAAACCTAGGGGCATGTCTTTGCTTAGACCTGCCTAGACAAAATCTGTACAAGGGTGAAACATGCTACAACCTTTTGCCAAGGTTTCTTGTCCTTTTGTCAAGTTTCTTGTCCTTTTGTCAAGGTTTTTTTTCTATTGGTGCAACCTTTTTGTCAAAGGTGCTGCAGCAAGGAAGTCTTTTTGCCTTTTGTCAAGGCTTGGGAGGCTTTTGTCAAGCCTTTTGGTTTTAGATGCTTTTGCCAAGCCTGCCTGGACCACCATTGGCTCTGCCCTTTTGTCAAGGGTTTTCCTCCTTGAGGATGCCAATGGCTGCAGCTGCAAAGTCAGAGAAGCAGCTTTGGAGCTTAGGCTGCCCCTTTTTCCTTCTCTGACCAGCAGGCACAATGGGGTAAGCCTGGATGCCAAACTGAATGGCTTCAGAACAAATGTCAGCATTGTCATCCACCAGCTTGCTTACCCCATTGTCCAGGCACCACTGGGCTTTCCCTTCCTTGCCACATTGCTTCCAGGTGAAGCTGACAGAGGCCCAGCCATTCCATTCAAACCAGGCCCAGTCATACACCTCATGGCTTCTCTTCCAGCCACAGTAGCTCAACAGGTGCACTTCATACCCTGCATCCTTGAGCTTCTGCAGCCATGGGGTGGCTGTGAGGTCATACAGGTTGTTATGCACCAGGACCTTGTGCCAGTCCACTGCAACCCTCTTGGGTGGCTGCTTTTTTGGCAAGCCCTTTTTGCCATCATCCCCTTTTGTCAAGGGGTCAGGGCTGCCAGGTGATGGTGTGCCAGAGCTGGCACTGGCACTGGAGCTACTGTTGCCCCAGTCCACACTCATTCCATCATCACTGCTCTGTTGGCTTGATTTTTTCCTTTTGGCAAGGAATCATCTTTTGCTTTTGTCAAGCCTTTGCTCTGCTCCTTTTCCTTTGCTTGTTCCTTCTCTGAAGGGCCAAGTTTCTTTGACACCCCATCTTTGGAACCTTCAGGAGGGACACTTTCCTTCTGCTCCTTTTGGCCAGGAGCATCTTTCTTTTCTTGCTCCTTTTGGCAAGGAGTTTCCTTCTTGTTTGCCTGCCCCTTTTGGCAAGGAGTTTCCTTTTTCTTTGGCTGCTCCTTTGGGCAAGGAGTTTCCTTTTTCTTTTGCTGCTCCTTTTGGCAAGGAGTTTCCTTTTTCTTTGGCTGCTCCTTTTGGCAAGGAGGTTCCCTTTTGTTTGGTTTCTCCTTTTGGCAAGGAGGCCCTTTCCTGGGCTTTTTCCTGGATGGCCCAACTTCCACCCATCCAGCTGCTTGGCTGGCAGCTGCAGCTGCTTCAGCTGCCTGGGCAGCTGTCCTTGCTGCCTGCTCAGCAGCCTCTTCAGCCTGCTTCTTCATAGAAGCAGCTTTCTGTGCTTCCTTCTTGGCTTTGTCAGCCAAAGCAGCACTGTCCCCCAGGGCAGCTAGCCTGTCCCTTTCTTGGGCAGCTGCCTGGATCCTTGCCCTTCTGGCATGGGAGGTGGTGCCACTGCCAGTTGGCCTCCACTTGTTGTTCCACCCACCATCCCCCCATTCCCAATCATCATCATCCCACTGCATTGGGACAACCTTTTGTCAAGGTCCAGGCTGCTCACCTTTTGGCAAGGTAAAGTTTTTTTTTGTCAGTTCCAATCCCTTTTGTCAAGAGAAGTTGGTTCAAGTTGTTCCAGACCACCTAAGGGTCCACTGGTCCAAAAAAAAAAGCGCGAAAAAAAAAACTCTCTAGCTTTTGAGCCAAAAGTCTGGGGTGGGACACATCAGGTTAGAAATGCTATCAGGAACCCAATTCAAAGTACCCCTTATAAATAGTTGAGGGTGCATTTGCTACAGCTATACTACACTATACCCCTACTGCAGCTGATGCTGCAACTAACACCTACTAGCTACTTAGCTGCAAGCCTACTACTACCACTACAACCAACAGATACAGGTGGTACAAAAACAAACAAAACACCAACATTGTTTCCATTACCTAGACAAGTACAACACCTAAACACATCCCCCCACCCAAGCTGCCAGCTCTTTTTGACACCCTTGAGGAAGGGCAGTGCACCAAGCCAGACCCTTTTTTGGGTAGGCATTAAACAATCCTTTTGTCAAGGAAAAGTAGTTCCTTTTGCCAAGGAACATTAAAAACCATTCCTTTTGCCAAGGAAAGCTATACCTTTTGCCAAGGAGCTTTGCTTCATTGTGCACAGCCAGTGCACAGCATTCAGCCTTTTGTCAAGGCATGCCATGCTGCTCAGCAGAGGCTTTCTCTGAGCTCCCTGCACTGCAGCTTGTCAAGGCCTTTCTTTTCAGCTTCCTGGTGGATGGTTTCAATTACCCTTTGGTACTGGATGGTTCTTTTTTTGATACCTCCACCAGGAGCCTGAATTTTTCCTTGGGTGCAGACTGTGCAGTGATGTATGCCCTTTCAGGTTTCTTTGCATATGTCACCTTCAACTTATGCCACTTTTGGCCTTTGGGCTTCACTTCTGCCTGCACCCCTGCAGGTGACTTTCCTGAGCTGCAGGATGCAGCTGGTTTCCTCATTTTTGCAGTCCCTTTTGTCAAGGGTTTCTTCAGAGTTGCTGCTGGCCTCTTCTTTGCTTGTCCTTTTGGCAAGGCCTTTGGCAAGCCAATGGCTTTTGCCAAGCCTTCATCCTCATCTTCTTGGCCCCAGGCCTTGGAGGATTTGGCTGCCCTGGACCCTATCTTTTTCCTGAAGAAGGAAGTGTTCACTTTTGGCAAGTGCTCTTCATCTTCCAATTCTTCAGCAGACCTCTTACCTTTTGTCAAGGTTTTTTTGGCTGGTGATGTTTTCAGTTCATTGGGGTATCCCTCTGAGTCCAGGGACATGTCATCCCTCATTCTTTCAGGCTCTTCCTGCTCATCTTTGTCTCTGATTTTGTCAACCAGATTCTGCAGCCTTTGGTAGTCTACAGATTTAAGCTTGGCAGCAGCTTTCCTCATCTCAGCATCATTTTTTAGCCTTCTGCAGTGAGCCATGACCACCACAAGCCTTTCAGTCTTGATGTTGGCCCAGACCTGCCCATTGAATTTTGAAGTGTTTAAGCTTGGCTTGTCCTTGGCCAAGGTCAGCAAACAGGTCCTGAGTGGACCTGAATGCACTTCGAAGGTGGCAGAGACCTTGACCAAGGACTCCAACAAGGCAATGATTTCCATCAAGCCACCTGGGTCAGTGGCTTGGTTCCTGGACACCAGCTCATAGGTGCCAAGGTCCTGTATCAAATCTTCATGGCAGCTCAGGCATTTGTACAAGACACCTTGGTCCACCATGGGTTTGGCAAAGTGTCTTGCCGGACCTTTGGACATCCTTTGGTCAAGGAATCTATACCTTTTGCCAAGGCTGCTCCCCCCTTTTGCCAAGGGTAGCTGAAACAGCTACCTTTTGCCAAGGGCCCACAAAGAAGTAACAACTAGTTTGAGCTGGAAAGATCAGTGCATGTCCATGCATCATAAACATGGGTTCAAGTTCACATGCCAAAAAAAAGCAGTTGGCCAAAGGGGAAAAAAGAGGAAAAAAACATCAAAAATCAACAGGAAAATCAACAGGAAAATCAACAGGAAAATCAATATGAAAATCAATATGAAAATCAATATGAAAATCAATAAGGGTCCCCAAAAAAATCAACACAAAATAGATAAAAATATTGATTTTAAAATCAATAAGGGAAATATTGAAAATATCAATACCAAAATCAATATTCAATATCAACAGAAAAATGGATGACTATATTGATTAGGATCAATATCCGATGGACAGGGTATCATAGAAGTCATTTTTACTTATTTTCACTTATTTTCACTTAATTTAGGTTAATTTTTCATTATTTTTTACTGTTTAAAATTGATAAAAGACGAAAGATGTTTCTGTCATAGGGTTTTGTAAAACATCTTTGAATTAAAAAATATAAGAATGTTGCGTTTTCTTTTTTTGTTTGGATATTTTCATGGTTCCGATGCAAGATCTTCCTTGTCCTGTTAAATGTATCTTTTACAGGAAGTTTCCTTTTCAGGCATCATCTCTTTTCAGGAACTATCCTTTTCAGGAATTATTCTTTTCAGAATGAATCCTTTTCAGGAGTTATCCTTATCAGGAATTTTTCAATTCAGATTGAATCCTTTTTCAGGAATTTTCCTTTCCAGGAATTATCCTTTACAGGAAATGTCTTTTCGAAGACCTTTTTCCATTCAGATAATATTTGGTCACTTTTCCTTGTTTTGTCACAAGCTGGAAATTACTCACTTTCTTACTTTCTATAGTTTTAAAACTTTATCTTTATTGAAAATGTTATAAAAATGTTCATATTTTACTATTTTTCTAAATTTATATTTTTATATACATTTTGGTCATTGATTTTCATATTTTTCACATTTTCATAATTTTCTAAAAATTATCTGCATTTTCGGAATGTTCTATTTTTTTGGAACTTTCTAAATTTTCTAAATTTTATATATCTATGTATATATATATATTTCTGAATATTGCGATTTTTTTCGAATTATCTAAATTTCCTAAATTCTCTGGATTTTCTGAAATTTTTGAATTTTCTGAATTTCAGAATTTTCATATTTTTTTTTGTTTTTTTAATTGTCTGAATTTTCTGAATTTTCAAATTTTCTGAATTTTCTGAATTTTCTGAATTTTCTGAAATTTCTGAATTTTCTGAATTTTCTGAATTTTCTGAATTTTCTGAATTTTCTGAATTTCCTGAATTTTCTGAATTTTCTGAATTTTCTGAATTTTCTGAATTTTCTGGGTTTCTGAATTTTCTGAATTGTTTTCCTTTTAATTTAAATTGTAAATTCTGAATTTTCTGAATTTTCTGGGTTTCTGAATTTTCTGACTTTTCTGAATTTTCTGAATTTTCTGGGTTTCTGAATTTTGTGAATTTTCTGAGTTTTCTGAATTTTCTGAAATTTTTGAATTTTCTGAATTTTCTGAATTTTCTGTTTTTTTCTAAATTTTCTGAATTTTCTGAATCTTCTGAATTTTAGATTTTTTTTAATTTTCTGACTCTTCTGAATTTTTAAAATTTTCTAAATTTTCTGATTTGTTTTGTTTTTTCCGACTTTTCAACATTTTCAATATTTTCTTCATTTTCTACATTTTCTCATTTTCAAAATTTTCTGACGTATATACATTAAAAATAATAAATTTGTTACCTTCTGTATGTTTAAGCATTATAAATTTTCTCAGTAAGTTACTTTTCTCCATTTATTTCTATTACAATCTTTTTTGAGTGGTGTGTATTGTTTCTCAGATTTCTTATTACTCTGAATGTCTCAAACTTAATTTATATATATATATATTTGCAATATTTTTATATTTTATAATATTTTTTCTGCATAGTTTCAACTGAGTTGATCTGAAATTTTCTATTAGAATATATCGTAATGTTTGAGAAATTTAAAGAATTTGACTGTCAACAACTTCAAATGCGAATCCCTGGAAAACGTAAAGCTCAAGAAGCTACATTTTTTTTCTGGTGAAATATCATACTGAGTTTTTTTTATTTGTGAAAGAACTGCTTTTCATGAACATTATGCTGCTCATATTTTTGCCTGCCCAGGAAGTATACATTACAGGAGGTCATCTTTTCAGAGAAAAAAGGGATACTAACTTTCCAGGAACTACTCCTTACAGGAAACATTATATATTCCAGATATTTTTTTCGTTATAAAAATTCCAATGCCCTTCCCTTTGAAGCCAAAATTGCTCCGTGGTAATCGACATCCATGTCCATCAATGTTGAAAACTGACAAAAAACATATTTTTACTTATTTTCGCTTCTTTTCCCTTATTTCAACTTATTTTTGAATAATATTCCACTATATTTACTTATATGTTCATTATTATGTTACAAGTTCACCTAAACGATTAGTGGAACTTAAAACAAAAAAAATAAAAATAAACAATTTAAACAAGATATTAGCAAGATAATAGCAACTTATAATATACTTATAACTTCATTAAGTGCCTGATGTGAAAATAAATAAATTTAGAAGTCTTAGCAGTGGAAAGAGATTCGCACCACTGACTCCATCCAGGGAGTGCTTCGTGGCGATGATGAGGAGTGGAGACGCTTGGGTGATTGTGGATGCTCCCGGCTTTCAAAGCTGTGGTGTGAAGGTGGCAGCCATGAGTTCTACCTGACTCTCAGGACGTGCGTTGCGTTCAAGTACAAGTTGGGTCAAATGCTGAACAACGGCATGGTCCTGAAGAGGGCTGCTCACGTTTACTCTGGCCAGGATTTGCTGGCCGTGAGATTTGGAGATGGGCTTTCTACGCCGGATCAAAAGCTCCTGAACATAGGCCTGTATGATGCAAATTTTGATTTCCCAGCCCATATTCCCATCACCGTCCACGCGTACTTGCTCAGTGGCAAGAAAATGATCGATGAGAAAATGCCGCGTTTGACGAGCACTTGGTGGGACATTGCGAAGAAAATCATCGAAAACCACGGAGAGATGAATCTGGCTTTCATCATTGACGGTGAAATTGTGCCCCGGCACATGTGGCACAAGAGTCTCCTGGAGCCAGTCATCCCCAATGAGGAGGTCCAGGAAATGCCGCAGTACCCGAAGTCAAAGCCTGGTGGCAAAACTTCAGGAACACCATCGATGAGCAGTCGACACATGCCCATGCCGATGAAGGCAGCCAGCAAGCCCAAGGCCCGCCCGAAGGCAACTCCGAAATCACAGCCAAAGAAGGCTTCCAAGAAGTCTAGCAAAACTATGAAGAAGGCTTCTCCAAAGGACAAGAAGAAAGCTTCCCAGCACCAGGTGAACAAGGGCAAGATGGCTTCGCAGAAAACCGTTGTGGATGGCAATGTGAAGATCAAGAAGAAGCCTTCTGCAAAGCATGACACAATGTCAATGGCCTAGTTAAATTGGCCCGATGATCCAGATTTTGCATGCTGGATTGGAGATGCCGGTATGGCTTTGCAGTGATTGAATGGAATGGCTCTTGATCCATAGTCGCACAGCCGGATCTTGAGCAGTTCAGTTCACTGATTTAATCTTGGATGTCTGGGAAGTCCAAATGTCATTTGACACCCAGCGACTGTGAAACCTAGCAAGCCAAAGTAATGGCTGCTTTGATCGTTGACTATGGAGCCGAGCATGTGAAAAAAGCTGCTCTAACAACCTCTGACGTTCTTCTCGTTTTTTGCATGTCCTGGTGTTGAAAAGAAACGACCTTAGCTGAAAAGCAAACATTTACCGCATGTCTTTGCCACCTGAAGTCGAAAAGCAACCTCCGTAGCTGAACAGCAAACATATACCTCTGACAAGCATGGTTTGGCAGCACCCATGAATTGTTTGGAAGCAGCCATTCATTCGTCAACCACTCATTCGGTTCTGCCATGCTGAGAAACCGGCTTTCCTTCATGTGTTTTGGTTCAGGAGTAGCTTGAAGCCTTGCTGTCTCGTTTCCCATCCATGGAGCTCACTTCCTTGGACATCTTGGTCATCTATGGATTGCTCATTGACTGCTACAGTAGCAGGGAGGTTCTGTTGACACTGCAAGGAGGGCACCTCTTTTCAAACTTTGTTGACGACCAGCAGTGCATCACAGTGAACATCAAGCTGTGGACTATGGTGATCAGTTTGGCCAAGCATCCTAGCCCGGTGGCATGTGACTTTGTCTCTGAAGGCAATTTCAGGCTGTTGGATGACCCAGATGACACGAATGATGGAAAGTCCTTTTTGGAGAAGATGTCTGCAATGCTTGACGCAGATGTCAAGGTGAGGGGTCTTCGGCACCAATTGACTCTATCCATTAGGTTGCTGAATGATTTGTTGGCCAAACTGCCACACCACCCTAAGGGCCGTTTGGAACTTGATATGACCGGTCTGTGTGCCCAATTCGTTTGTTCATTGCACAAATTCACTTTGGTTGTGCGCCACCTTCTTGAAATCCTTCGCATTGTGTTTGCAGAGACACTGTGCAGGTAAGGTTGGCTTAGGCTTTGAGGGTTTGACCTCTTTGTGCAACGATCTGAGAATGTGTCAAAAGAAAGGCTGCTGCAAGAGATATTGTCCAGCTGAACATTCGATGAAGCTTCTTTTGACAGATTCAGTTTTTCAATGTTTCTTCACAATCAGAGAACGTTGGTTTCATATATATTGAAGCCGTGTAGCACTGTCTTCATGGTCACGACATTGCTCACTCTAGGGACCAGAAACTAGAATAAGGTGAAAAACATCAGCATTGTTTCTCAGCAGTGCCAAGTAACAACGAGCAGAATGATGTTGGGATGCTGAAATAATTTGAGATTAGGAATTTCGAGAATGTTGGCTGTCTTGTCTCAAAACTTGTTCACAAAACCGACCCGCAATCAAAAGAGTGTGATTTGTAGCAAACCGAACGGAGATTCAACTCAAATCAGTTGGCAACCTTTGCCTCACGAACTTGACTCAGAAGAGACGCAGTGGCTTGTAAACAAGCTTGTTCTAGTATGAGTCTTTGATTCTAGAATGTCCTTGAAGTCTAGATTGAGCAAAAAGGACTTCATCACAAATCAGTTGGCAACTTTTTCATCACAAAACCTCTCCCAGAAGAGATCGAATGATTTGCGATGAACTTGACTGAGGTTCATCGCAAATCAGCTGGCAACTTTTCAATCCCAGCCAGTGATTTGTGATGAACTTCAGGCAGGCTCATCACAAATCAGCTGGCAACTTGTTAATCCCAGCCAATGATATGTGATGAACTTCAGTCAGGTTCATCACAAATCAGCTGGCAACTTGTTAATCCCAGCCAGTGATTTGTGATGAACTTCAGTCAGGTTCATCACAAATCAGCTGGCAACTTCTCAATCCCAGCCAGTGATTTGTGATGAACTTCAGTCAGGCTCATCACAAATCAGCTGGCAACTTGTTAATCCCAGCCAGTGATTTGTGATGAACTTCAGTCAGGTCATCACAAATCAGCTGGCAACTTGTTAATCCCAGCCAGTGATTTGTGATGAACTTGACTGAGCCAGTGATTTGTGATGAACATCATCACAATCAATACCACATGGTTGTTCATCACAAAATGACCTATCCAAAGAAACCTGGATTTGTGATGAACCTGGCTGAGGTTCATCACAAATCACCCTGTCCCCCAGGCACAGGTATGAAAAGAATCAGTGAAAGAACTGATCCAAGGTCTGGAAGACAGTATGATTTTGTGATGAACCTCAGTCAAGTTCATCACAAACTGAGGTAGTCCCGCCGATCTTGATTTGTGATGAGCAGCAACTTCATTCATCAGAAATTCAAGTTCATGGCCATTTCCGGTTCCTTAGAAGTCTAGCCATGGGTTCAACCGAAATCGAATCATTTGTGATGAGTGTGATGCCTCAAGGAATTTTGGATCAAAGGATCTGTGAGGGCAACTCGTCGCATCGCCATGGGAAGCGCGTCAGTGGTGCATCATCAACTGGACCAGCAAAGAAGAAAGCTTCCAGGGAGAGCATCAAGGATGGTGACACAGCAATTCAGGTGCCGAATGACATCAAGGCCACTTTTGTTGTGAACCCTTGGCTCGGAAAGGTTCTCGAAAGGTTTGATGCTGAATGGAAGCAGCACCAAGACATCGTGCTCATCTTGGAGCACTTCTTCCCTTCTTCCCCAATGAGCAGGAGCAGCTGGACTGGAGCAGTTTCCTGTCTGAGACTTTCCCTGCTGAGTCAGAAGTCACCTATTTGTCTGCGGATGAGATGGATGACGCTTGCCAGGTCTATCTTCGACCTTTCATGCTCAGCTGGAAGAGAGAAGCCGGGAACAAAGGTTACGTGATGCAGGAGAACTTCAGGAACCTCATCCAGCTCATTTTGGCAAAGGGGTTTGAGACCTCCTCTAGCATAACCGGTGTGGAGCTGCCAGTGATTTCGAAACATCACGCAAAGCTCATTCAGGGCGCGGCCATGCACATGCCCAGTATCGAGCCAAATTGCCTTCCTGCAAACAGCATCAGTATGATCAAAGGCTGGAGCAGAGCATGTGCCATGCACTTGGTTCTGAAGTTGTGCTGTGAAGTTGGCATTTTGGACCAGTACATGAAGTACTTGGGCGGCAAGGTCAAAGGTTTCAGTACAGTCTATGCCAACTTCAGACACTACAAGGAAGACGAGGACATCGTGGACATCAACAGAGGCACCGTCCGACCAAGTTTTTTAAAATTAATTGCGTTCATATGAAATATTTTTGTTTGATATAGCCCACTGAATCCCACTGAAATGTGTGGTGCTCGCTGTGAACAAAAGCTGTGCTGTCATGCCACAACTTTGCAGACATCACATTGGCTTCCACTTTGACCCGAACCAAAGCAAATTGCTTTGTCAACTTGCACCAGATTGAGCGGAAAGCATTGCTGCACAATGGCGACATCTCCGTGCAGATGACGCAGTTTCTGGAGGGCATGGCTGGCTTCAACCTGAGTCCTGCTGAGGAAGCTGCTACGAAGAACCTTCTTTTGTTCATGTGTCTCAGTTGCAAGTTTAGGCTTCAGAGAAATTTTCGGATGACGTGCTGATATTCAACAACATGCGTGAAATTCAAGTGCTGGCAAGCACATGTCAGTGCTGAAAAGCACTGTGCTGAAAAGCACATGTCAGTGCTGGAAAGCACAGTGCTGGAAAGCACATGTCAGTGCTGAAAAGCACATGTCAGTGCTGAAGAGCATGTCAGTGCTGAAAAGCACATCCCACCGCTGAAAAGCGGATGAAGTGCTGAAGAGCACATTTTTTTTTTTAAGAGCGGTTTGTTGCATGATTGCGCTGCAAAGTCTTGAAGTTATTTCTTTCTGTCAGGAACAAGGAGCAGAGATCCAAGCTTGCAAGGATTGGGACCACCTACGGCATGGCGCGTGGCCCGTTCTCCCATGCGTCCATTGGATGCAAAGGGCTCAGATTGGGCTACAAGCCCAACTGTGAAGATGAGTGGTGGGATCAAAGAATGGCCAGCACTGCAGAGACCCAGGACATGATCATCAATCGCATCTTCGGCAACTGGATTGGATTGCCAACTGGGCTTCGAAAGACAGCTGATGAAGCGACAATCTTTGCTATGCAGAAGATTTGCCGATGTTTCCAGCTTTACTTGGAGAACTTGCACAGCAAGCTGCCGGCATCGAATTTCAACAGCGAGAGGGATAAGCTGATGGCTGCCTTTGACATGGGCACCATGGATGATGTTCTCAAAGCAGGTGCAGATGCCCAACCAGCCATTGATTGCTCCAGGATTCCTGAGTTCGAAGTTGTGCTGGACAAGTTGAACAGTGAGGTTGTCCTCCAAGCTGCTCAAAAAAGGGCAGATCTGCAGAAGTCACTCGAGAGTGCAACGTTCATGTCCCTGGTGGAGGATTTGAAGCAAGATCAGGTGAAGATCGAGAAGTACATGAGTGCATTGGATGCATCCAGGGCCAACTGGAGCCAGTCACTTAGTGCACATAAGAGACACCGCCGCCAGACAGGTTTGCAGAGGACCCTTGACTTCATGAAGATGCGCCTGGACGTTGGAACAATGGCTGGTGAAGAAGTTATTGCAGATATTCCCAAGCACTACAGCGTCTTCAAAGCATTTTCTGGTCGAGAGAACCAGGGCTTTGGACATGATGAGACGTGTGAAGCTTATGTTTAGTGACAGTGTGACAGAAACGGATTTAAACACAAACTGTTGTGATACATGATGTCCCAACCTGATTCTCACTGATGGCATTTCCACTGAGGGAAACTTTGGTCATCTTGGACTTCAGTGTCAGCCCGAACCCGACCACCATGGCCAACATGATTCAAAGTGCTGCAGCAATCTGCCAGCAGTCGCCACTGTGTGCAGTGCTTGTGAGATATCCGCTGAGGATCACATCTCAGGCTGAATCTTTATGGATTGCATCGACCAGAAAGATCGAGGATCGACTTCTCACTGGTGGTCTTTGCATTTTGGGCTGAGTCAACGCTGTGATTGACACTCGAGAAGCTCGTGGGAATGACAGACGCGATGCAGTCGTTCAATTTCGACTCTGTGTGCCTGAAGCCTTTGTGGAATCATCGCCCTGGATGACTTCGCAGGTCATGAGCCAACACAAGATCATCCAGGGTGTTCACATGCTGCCTCCACGGGATTTGCGCTTCATCCCCCAGGCAGATGCTGTGGCAAGGAAGGAGCATTTGAACGTGCAGGAACGTGGATCTCAGTTGGGGCCCAAAGCCTGTGAGCAGATCCTGCTTCCACTGATGATTGGTCGGGCCTCTGGTGACGTTCGAACCCGAAAAGTGATTGTCATGGACATCAATCCGACATTTGGTGACTGGCTGGATGCTTCCTGGAACCTTAATCACAGGTATCTTCAGGGAGGCGACGTGCCAATGGTGGTGTATTGCACTCGCTACACTGCTTCTGATGTCAGCGAGTTCAATGGCATGCGATCCAGGACGCAGCAACAGCTGATGGAGCAATGGTGGGAGAGTCACCCTGACGCAGGGCCTGAGGAGCCAGTCTGCACTGCTGAGAGTGCAGTGACCAGGCCTTCCCTGACACTCCTTTCCTGGACCACGGATGGATCGAAGGTCACTTTCCCTGAGATCCTTGAGAGCAAGTTCAACAGCGACAGTGAATACAGCCCTCAATGGAAGTCTGCCTGTGACAATGCCAGGGATTTGCTGCAGAAACTGGAGGCTGCCAACACCCATTGCTCAGGTCGAACTGTTGGCAATGACGTGGGTGCTGTGGCTTTGACAGGTCCTGACTTGGACGGTGTGCAGCCCAAGCAGTTCAACAGTGCACCTGGACTCGGTCAAGCTTGCTGACTTCAACCTGGACGATGTGCAGCTAGGCTAAATGAATGTTCACGGGACCCAGGTGATGTTACCTCATACACCATGTCTCTAGTGTTTGACACTGCTGTGCAGCTGAGGGCTTACAAGATCCGTGGCACTGCAACAAGCCCAACTCTGTTGATTACCAAAGATCACTCAATCTACCTCCACATGGAAGCGGCCATTCATGGTGAGAGAGCATGGGTCTTTGGTCCAGGCGAGCTGTTTGGTTTCAACACTGGCAGCATGATCCAAGATGACACTGAAACGCTGAAAAGTCTCTCGGACAAGATTGAAGTCTGTGATTTTTCTTTTTTTTCCAGAAGTCGATTCAGCCACCTTGTGAAGTGAGCTGGCCTGAGGCACCGAGAGGGTGATCATGTGGCACATCCCGAACGATGACCAGAAGGCTGTGGTGCTTGAAAAGACTCCTCGCACCATTTCCAGCTTGCTTTTCCAAGCATTTGAGAAGAACGTCCCCGAGATGAAAGTGGACCAGCATGTCTGCATGCCGATGAAGATCACCAGAGAGGCTGGAGCTGTTCATTCTTTGTTTTGGTAGCATTTGATCAATGCTATTTTCAGCTTCAGCCAATGTTTGTCTACATAACCAATGCTTCTCAGCATTTGTCAATGCTTTTCAGCATTTGTCAATGCTTTTCAGCATTTGTCAATGCTTTTCAGCATTTATCAATGCTTTTCAGCATTTATCAACGCTTTTCAGCATTTATCAACGCTTTTCAGCATTTATCAGTGATCAATGCTTCTCAGCCTTTTTTATGCTTCTCAGGATTTTCCAAATTTTCTTTTCAGCATTCAGCAAGTGCTGAGAACTGCACAGACAGGGCATCGAAATCGACATGTTTTGCCGTCTCAAACTTCGGCTCGGCAACCATGCGCTGGCATTTGGTCCTGACAAATTGTCCGATGCTGACTTGGCTGGTACCACATTGAAGAGGGCACAGGCTGCGGCTTTGTTCGAAAATCGAAAATGTTTCCAAACTGGAATGCAACCATGCTGGAGTTATTTGGGAAATCCAGCTGTCATTTGACCCTCCCGCAACTGTGAAACCTGTGAAGCCAAAGTACTGGCTGTTGGGATCTTTGAACATGGAGCCAGAGAAGATCTACAAGCTGCTTTGATCGGTCCTCCATGGTCTTCTCGAGCTACTGATCTCGATCTTGGTGCCTGAGCTAGGCTGTGGATCATTTTGAAAAGATCATGCAGGCTCTTCAGGCAAGTGCGGTTGGATGGGCAGCTGATTGATTGACAAAGTCGTATCAACTGCTTACAGGAATTTCCCACATGAAAGAAACATAGTTTCAAATTATGTAACATGTTGAACCATGCATAGCTTGCAAACAATTTCTTTCACAGTCTCCCAGCCAGCCTCATTTTGCAAGCCAAGAGAGGACAATTTGGTCCTGAGGCTTCAGGGATCCTGAGTCGCAAACAACGGAAACAGCTGAAAAGCTTGCTTAGTGCTGAAAAGCTGTCAACTCAACTGAGAAGTTGCCAAATATGCACCGGTTTGACGAGTTTCACACAATTCAATGAGTGGTCGCAACCTTCAGTGAGTGGGTTCAAAGCTTGCGGCCTAATCCCAATTTTGATCTTTGGCAGTTAGAGCCCCTCGTCATTGATCATGGTGGCAGTGGACCATGGACGAGTGGCTGATTTGAGCGACAGCGCTGATGAGGCTCCACCTGCGCCGGCAACTCCGAAATCAAAGGCCAAAGCGAAAGCAAAGGCCAAATCATCCCCAGCGACTCCAAAGAAACCAACTTCAGGTGTCATCAGCAGTCCCAAGGCAGCTTCGAAATCCAAGTCCCCAGCAGTGCCCAAGTTGAAGAAGCCGGCAGCTTCCTTGAAGCGACCAGCCTCGGCTATGAATGCAGCTGAGGATGTCAATGGGGACGATGCTAGCATCGACGTTCCTGCTGAGACCAAGGATCCCAATGATGGAAACTCATCTCCTGGCAAGGGTGAGGAGGATCCTGATGTTTGCAAGAAGCCTGCCATGCGCAAGAACAAGAAGGCTGTAGACTTCGGTTTGGATCCAGTCACTCATGTGAAGCACAATGGTCAGGACTACTTCAATATGCAATATGTTGCAAAGGGCAAAGTTTCGATCAGGAACGACTCCAAGTTGGTCGTCTTCACTGTTTCTTGACCTGCCTGAAACTAGGGTCAGTCCATGTGCATCCTACTTTAAACTTAATTCACTTTGTCCTCACAAGATGAATTTGTCAACCCTTTCAGTACTAATGGAAGTAATGGTCATCATTGTGTCTACATGATCCTACTGAGGCTGCTGCTGGTGGCGCCACTCTGAAACAAAACGATGATATTTGTGTGGCAGTGCTGAAAGCACTTGAGACCTCCCAAAACTTGCCGAACTCATTGGCTCAGGGCCACCAGTGGGCGGCCGATCTGTGGGCCAAGATCAACAATGTTGGATCGACGGCCGGGCCTTCCGATGCACCTGCCTAAGTGCAATTTTTGGCATCTCCTGGCAACCTTAGACTGCTGCTGGGCCAAGTGTGAAAACATTCTGCAGTTCAACATGTTTCTGTCGTTTGCTTGGCAAGATGCAATGACACTGGCTCATGGTCTCAGTTTGCTTCACTACTACTGATGCTACTATCTGATAAAGATACACAATGTTAAATTCCTCAGATCCTCAGTTTGCATCGACTTACCATTGCCACGTGCTGATTCTTGATTTTTTTTGCGATGCTTTTTGGTGGCTGAAAAGCACTTAGATTAGCAGCTGAAAAGCGCCCAAGAAGTCATGAAACGCAAAGCGGTTATTAGCCATGTGTCCCTGCTATCTGAATCCGATGCTGCTGAGCCCTCCCTTTCTTCGCAAAAGAAGCAAAGCAGTGGCCTAAAGTACTACGCTGTTGAGACTACTGGTGGCAAAGCTGCTGTGCATTGCTCCGCATTGAAAGCAGTTGTGGATGGCACTGAAGTGAGCAAGTTTAGTAACGCTGAAGTGATAGCACATGAGCTCAACAAGGGCAGAGCAATTGACGATGTGAAATATCTCATCGCGTTGATGGAGAGCGGGCAGCAAAGCTGACATATCGAATTCGGAGAAAAAAGGTGGTGAAACAGCGCTCAGCGAAGCAGTCGCTTTTTCTGCAACACTTTCACAATTCGTTGGACCTTGCTGAGATGGTAGATTTTTCTGTCGTTCATACGCAGCGCAGCAGCATCTTTGCTGAGGTTCTTTTGCACGATCCTTCCACCATATCCAAGGCGGTATAGTTTGGCAATCTTTGGCAAGAGCTTGATTGCTTGAGATTCTAGCGTTTTTTTTCGGGCAGCTGCCCCTTTCCCAGCTACTTTTCGATTCCTCGTTTCCAATTTTTTGCCTCTGCTCTTGGCAACCGCGAGGGCGCGCTTGACACGATCACTGCAGAGGTCTGCCTGCACACTTTTTCTTTAGCTGTGTGTGAGTCATCTTATCAAAAATGTGACACGTTGATTTTGTGCCAGGATTTTGCAAGGACAGCGCAATCATCCCGCCTCTAGCTCAGCATCAAGAACCAGCTTTCCAAAGATGTTTTTTCCTCTGGGAGTTGTTGTGTCTAGCTCCTCGTTCTCACATATCAACACAGGTACTTTGCTTTCTTCTATCTGGATCAAATCTTTTTTGTTCCTGAGCATGCGGCACACAGTTGATGTGGCCAAGATGCCATTGTCTGCCTGAGTTGCAGCTATGATTTGTGCCAGTCTGCAGGACCACCTTGCATCGCGGCGGGCTGAGATATCCCTGACATACCAGGCTGCAACCCTCCATTTCTTTCCAAACCTTCTATTGAAAGTACGTTTGCAATCTTCTTTTTGAGCTTGAAGTGAGTAAGCTTTCTTGCCCATCTTGTTCAGCGTTTGTCCTGGTGATTTCCCTAGGATAACATGAAGCTTCGTCGGCATTGCAATTTGATGATGAGCACGGAGCCTACTGTAGTTGAGACTGACTATAATCTGAGCCACGTTTCACGTGAAAAAATGTGTACCAGGGACCCATACCAAACCCGGGTTTGACGTGAGAACCGTGGGGTTTGGAATGGGTACTCTCAAGCTGAGGTCGCTACAAAGAAAATGTTCAAACAGTTTGCCGACCTCTGCTTTTCAGCAGTGTGCTTCTCAGCACGCATACAGCTTTTCAGCTTTGCATGTTTGAAATGCTTCTCAGCATAGAATTCGCTGCTTTTCAGCATAGAATTCACATTAGAATTCACTGCTTTTCAGCAGTGAAACAGGTTCAGACAAAACGCTGCTTGCAGCATCTTGCAGCTAAGGCTGGAGCATCTTGTGGCCTTCACTTGGACTCAGCCTCAGCAGTCGACAAACAATCGCAGTTTGCTGAAAAGCAAACTTACAAGATGTTCATGCTGAAAAGCACTCATGTATGCTGAAAAGCACTCATGTATGCTGAAAAGCATTCATTCATCAGTCTGCCGATTTGTTGAGGTCCCTTGTGAGAAACATGTACAGATAGATCAAAACCGAACACATTCAACATTGTCAAACGCCCTGATGCACGTGTGCCTGTTGTGTGTTTGGGTGATGGTTGCATCTTTTTTTGGGTTCAACAAAGGATAAATTCCTTTAAAAGGAAAAAATGGGTAGAGGTAGGACCGCAGCCAGACTGAGTCACCGAGCAAGCCAAATTACACAGCCAGGTGAAAAAAAATCAGACTGCAAGTTATTCGCAAGCACACGTCCTGAGGAGCGACTGGCATTATTCTAGAGGCAACATTCCCATATTCAGAAAATCTTCGCATACCATGTTTTCATCGTACTCCAGACCTGGTTTTGGTATGTTACTTTGATAGGCATTTCAGCTCAATCTGGAGGGAACAGTTGGGCCACGGCGAATCCACTGAATGCCCCTCCACAGCTTTCTATCCCCTATGTCGTTCCAAAGCAGCTGTGGACGTTGAATGAATTGAAGGCTGCTTTGATAAGGAAGTTTCTTCATGTGTCTACCGAAGAAGGACAGGGTTGTCAAGGGTAACGTTTTTAAAGGTTGGCTGAGTAAAAATTCGAAAGTTTCTTCCCCGGGGCCTCACCCAAGGTGAACTCGGAAAAATAGAACCCACTGGTGTGCCCCTGGAAGTTTGGGCTGGCTTTGGGATTGGAATTTTGGTTCTGGCCCCGAAATTTCCCTATGTGGTCTCTATACCAGCCACGCATACTCGGAATTCTTCGCATTCCACAAATTCTTCGCACTCCAGCGAGGGCATCGCACTCCACAGCTAGGGACGTGCACATACTATAATATCCACGCACTCTGCAAGATCTTCGCACTCCATAAAATTTTCGTACTCGGTGATTTTTCGTTTTTTGCGTGTTTTTTTTTTCCGTTTTTTTTTTGGCTAAAATCGCCTGGAATCACGTTTTCTGGAATATGGGCAAGGTAGCGGTTTCGCGTCAGACGTCTGTAGTTTCACATACTATCGCATTCCAGGCCATTTTGGCCAAAAATGACCCCCCCAAAAAAAAAGAAAAAAAAAGCTCAGCAGGGTGAAATGTGATAATTTTCTGGTATATGATGGAAAAAACTGGTGTTGGATCCATGGGGAAGGTCGAAGGGGGCCACGCATACTGTTTTATTTTCGCATTCCAGAAAATTAGCGCACTCCAGGGGTGGCATCGTACTCTATCGGTGGAATTAGTTTGCACGGAAGAAAACAGGATCGTCGATGATTTGTGTTCCGAGATCCTGTTGTGCAGGGCTCTTTGCGGGGCCACAAAGATGTCAAGAAAGATGGGGATGGCGCTGCTGGTGAAAGGCCAGCCAAGCGTGCCAGAACATAAGCTTAAAGCTTATGAATTGGGTTTTGAGATCCTGAAAAGTGTAGATGACAAATTCCCATAAGAACATTATTAATCCATTTTTGGAAAGCTCAACATTATTAATTATGACATTTTCAGAAATTGTTGAAAGTAAGGATCTTCTTTGCGGAAGAACATGTGCAGTCGACAACGTACGTGCCAGAAGAAAAGGAGTACTTGGCAAACTGTATGAAATACAAATTTCACCTGAAAGGGGTCTTCGCAATTCCCTGAAATTTCCCAGCTATTTTGGCATGGAATATGTTCGGCCCTGGAATATGGGCAAGAAATTGCTAGAATTATGGGTCAAACAATGCAACGTTAAGTCTATGACACCCTTCGCAAACTTAGGGACCAACCACTAACACCTGCCAACAAAGTAGCTCTAAAAACTCAGCACTGAGTTTCTTCTCCCCGGGCCCAGTGCAGCCATGGCTGGAAAAGGAGGTGGCAAAGGAGGACAGGGCCCTCAGCGACAGGGGGTGGGCTGCATGCTCAGACGAGCAGAGAGGGCGGTCACCGCCAACACGAACATGCACCGGGCTGTCAGTTGGCTGTTGAGAGAGCTCCAATGCCCTCCGTTGGATGATGTGGTGTTCAAGCTGGAGGAGGGGCGGCAGCCACAGGCCCCACTGGTGCTGCAATGGCTCCAAGAAAGGGGGTCCAGAAGAGCCGAAGGCGAGGATTCCGCCAAAGCAGATGCCAAGTTCAGAAGAACCGAAGGCGAGGATTCAGCCCAAGCAGATGCCAAGTCCAGAAGAACCGAAAAAAGAGGAGAAGAAAAAAGAGGAGAAGAAAAAAGAGGCAGGGCCCTACAAGCCAAACACTTGGTTCAATCATGGTTTAAGTTACACACTCTCACACTGTTGCTGTTCAGTCTACTCTCAATGATCTTTGAATGTTTGCCACCCAAGAGTGAACCCGGACCCAGCCGTGGATCCAAGGACTACAAGTTTTCTGATGTTTGAACTAACACTCTGTCAGTCATGTCTGTGACAGCCTGTGCAACCACACTACTGAGATATACTGAGATCATTTCTGTCCTGATTTTTTAGGAAAGAGAAACGACATCTCCACAGACTGGGGCAAGCAGCAGAGCCAAGGCGAGGGGCTTTGAAAAGGGCTTGAACTTGGCATTGTGCTGAAAGGGACAACACATTGTGCTGAAAAGCACAATGCACTGTGCTGAAAAGCACAACGCACTGTGCTGAAAAGCACAACGCACTGTGCCGAAAAGCACAACACACTGTGCTGAAAAGCACAACACGCTGTGCTGAAAAGCACAACACACTGTGCTGAAAAGCACAACACACTGTGCTGAAAAGCACAAATTCGCTGTGGTGACAGGCACTGCTTCTTGTTCTTGGTCATTGCATGAGTTTTTGTAGTAATGCTAGTTGTACAGGCAGCAAAGCAAGAAGCTTGGACATCACCGACTGGGGCAAGCAGTGCATCCAAGGCCAGGGACTTCATACTGGGCTGGCTCAAAGATGCCAACAAAACGCAAGAAATTTTTGCAGAAAAGGCACCACCCTGACTATTCTTAAAAAAAATGATGTTTCAATTAGTATCTTTTTTAAAGCTTAGACGCTGTATGACTGTCATTCTTCCATTTTGTGTTCACACGCATCTCATGCAGTCGC